AGGAGACGCCGACGTCGGAGCACCCTCGCTCGCGGGGCAGCGGCTCAAGCAAGCTATGACAATCCGGACACCCCGGCGACGGGTCCGCTCGACCTCCCGAGAGCTCCAGCACTTGTCTAAGCGTCTGATACAGGTCGAACGGCGAGGCCAGACGGTGCTGATTCGTCTGCAGCGACGGATACGCGTCCGGCAACTCCTCCCGAAACCACTCCGGCAGCCACAGGTACAGAAACGGCAGCCTCTCCTCGTACCAGCCGACGAAGGTGCTCCGTATCGGACCCCACCGCATGCCGTGATCGCTCAGCAACACGATCATCGAGTCGTTCAGCACCCCCTCTCGCTCCAGCGTCTTCATCTTGTCCAGCAGCTGGTCGTCCATCGACGACAGCCCGTTCGCGTTCTCGTGGCTGGCGCTGATGGTCCAGAACAGCCCGAAGTACGGCAGGCCTAGAAACGCTCGCGCAAACTCGACCGCGTAGTCCAGAATCCTGTCGAAGCTGGACTCCGGGCCGGTACAGTACTTTAGGCCGAATCTGAAGTAAAAAGAAATCGTTAACGGAGGCTAGGTTTGTTAAGAGGTCAGAAGAATGATGTACCTTCTCTTGGTCTTCAGCAGCTTCTCGCAAGCGAGCATGTACGGACGCAGATAGTAGTCGGTCGGGGGTTCCACGAAGCCGGTTTTGAGGTAGTTGAAGGTGTTTAAGCTAGTCTCGTCCTCGCCGTACGCGGTGGCGTAGCCCGCGTCGCGGAAGTTCCGCCAAATAAACGGGCACTGGTCGAGCTTGTGCGGCACGGTAGGCTTGCACCTGGAGTAAGCCTGCGCTTGGCTCTGTCCGGTGAGGATCGCCATCAGGTTCGGGAAGGTGTTGTCTCCCATCTTGTTGTACCCGTTCATGCGGACCCATCCGGTCTCGCGCAGGTATCTCTCCGTGTTAGGCGCGCTGCGTATAAAGTTTAGGCGGCTAACACTGTCGATGCCGAGCAGCAAGACGCTCAACTTTCTGGACAGCGGACCGTCGCTGGTCCTATTACGTCGCAAGCGATCTCGGACCTTTTCGACGCCGAGTATCGCGTGAACGTTCTGGTAGACGGGCTTTTTCCACTTGGCGGTGCAGCTCACCATGACCGCTCGCGCGTCCTCGGGCAGCCTAGCTTCCCGCTCGAATCGCTCGCACCGTTTCACCCTGCAACGGGGGATCGGCCGCGTCACGAGTCTCTGCCCGTGTTCGACCGCTCCATTAAGCCCTAGATACTCACACGATCGACGAGTCTACGTTGGCGGGCCGTTTGATCTGTTCGGACGGCTCGTCGCTGGGGCGATAGATAGACGCCCAGCAGCACTCGAGGCCGGGAGGCAGGTCGGTCGGGTTCAGGTGCAGAAGCACGCTGCCGTTCTCGTCGCGCGACACTCCGCTGAGCAGAGGCTTGTTCGAGCAATTTTGATACTTTTCCTTCTTCACGTAGGCCCGGATCGACGGGTCCAGCGGGTCCTTCGACAGCATCTGGCATCGAGAGTTCCACACCAGGTAGCCGTCCACCGTTCCTGCGGACCATGGGTCGTCTATCTCTTGTAACTCGTTGACGGATGAATACTTACCTTCCGCGACGTTGTAGGAGCCGTAGAACGCGAGACGAGGCTCGAACGTGAAGTTCTTGTCGGAGGAGACCGCGTAGAGGCTGGCCAGAAGCGCGATCGGCAGCAGCAGCAGAGCGAGGTTGGACCGACGGCACACGTAGTCGAGGAAGCGGGATTTTTTCTTGGACCTCGGATCCAGGCTCGGTACTTTGCTCGTTCGCGGGAGCATGTCGTAACGCGAGGAACCACGAACGTCGAGTGCCGCGTCGCGATCATCGAGTGCGTTTCCCGGCGCTTCTCGTCGTACGTCGTCCTCGTCGTACGCGTTTTGGAACGCGCGACGACGGTGCCTCGCCGGAAATCGTTACTCTCAATTGAGCCGAATGACCGTCAACGAGCTCGACAAAGCTCTCGTTGGAAAAAAAAGAACAGATTCGGTTAGGGCTGCGACCGCAACCGAGGCTCGGTAACGACTGACGTAAACGAGTACTGCGTCGCGCGGGCTGAGCGAGATTTCGATCTTCCCCTCTCGTTCCAGCCGTCGATGATCCCTGACCGAAAACAACACCGAAAACTGACCGAAACGCTCGGATCGCGAGAGACAAGTTTCGTTGAAGGGTATTGATTCGCGAATGGACTGTTCTACGCAGACGCGGCGTCGCTAATTTCGAGCGAAACGTGGTCAAATACGAACTCGAGGCGCTGCCGCGTAACACGAATGATAATACTTTGTTTGTTCAGATGATAGGAAGAGTAGCGCCATTTATAAATGACGAGATCGAAACTGTTACGTAGGTTTGCTTATACAAGTTTTAATATAGCGATAAGTTTATGGATTTTATCAAGGATCAGCGTGAGGATCAGCGCTTTAAAGGGGCAGTACCTTTAGACAGATGAAAATAAGATATTTGTGAATTTCTTTTGTAGGACACCTTTGTATTGCATTTTCGAAATTTCAGGTATAATTTATTTTAACCTGTTGCAGAATATTTTCTGTTTTGCAAAATATTTCAAAATGCCGGAATTATGACAATCCTTTCTGGAAGTGTTCTGGCGCGAATCGGCGTGGGTTCCAGCGGAAGATATATTGGTTTCAGCAAGTTTGCAGACAACGTTTCGAAAACTAACATTCACAGTTAGATGAACCTCAGAAACGTGCAAAATATGTAAAATTGAAGAAATGGCGTTTAAAGAAAAACTTTGAATTTTATTGAAAATTTTTGCAATGTTTTGCAATAAAAAGGACTTTAATGTTCAATTTATTTCATACATTTAGGTTCATATGTTAGATAGTATTGTCATGGATATGTGCAGAAAATTTGAGCGCGATCGATAAACTAGTTTTTGAGTTATCAGCCACGGCAATTTTAAGAACGTAGTTTTGAGAAAAACGCGTTTAAAGTTTCAGTCCTCCGCACTGAACGCGTGTATACCCGCGGCGCTAATCGGCCATAACTTCAAAAGGGCTTCGTATTTCACTTGAAAATTTTCAGACAATATTTTTAAGACGTTACACTAACATTTTATAGAAAAAAAATTTTGTAATTTTTTAAGATTCTAAAGGTATTGCCCCTCTTAATTTATATTGATCTTGTGAAGAAATGTGGTCCACAGATTTGATTATGTAACAGCTTTTGCGGACATTTAAAAAGGACCTTCAGTTTCAGATGGAAACTGTTCCAAGGTTCACTCATAAGAGTTTTAATGTAGCAATAAAATCTGTAGACTCTGTATTGATCTTGCGAGGAAATGTGGTCCATGGATTGACCCTCTTTTTAAGGGAGGGGTGGTTCAAATAAATTCACAGTGACGTATTATAATGTGATTTATTTAGTAACTGGACAGGCACTCAACTCTTCCCATTTTATATAATTCTTTGATTACCACGAGTTTTCCTCAAGTATATGTCAAGGACATAAAAGACTTTCCTCAAATATATGTCAAGGACATAAAAGACTTTTGGTCCCAATAGGATGCGGTATTTTCAAGGACGTTTCTCTTAAATCTAAGCAAACGCTGAACATCCTAAAAAGAACGAACGTATTCAAAAGAACAGTCATTTTCACAGAAGTCTACATAGAAACATATAGGTTTACAAGAAACATATTTACATAGAAACATATGTCTATAGATTTACAAGAAAATACTAACTGCAGACAGTGCACCGCGTCTCGTCAGAGCCGTCGCCGCAGCCATCGCGTCCGCTGCACGTGATGGCGTCAGAGCGGCACCTCCCGTTGTCGCACCTGAAAGGACAATGCCTAGGACCGATCCTCCCGTAGTTCCTGGTCCTGCAGGCTCCCCTGGGCTCGTCGCTCCCGTCGCGACAGGACACCACCGCGTTGCAGAACTCGTAGGCGGGTAGACACTGACCGTTGTTGCACCTGAAGGCTCCCTTAGGACATTCTGTAGATTTGGGAAAATTTGTCACAACAATCTTCTGAAAGGTCATTAACTAGAGGTTTGTTAACTAAGTAAATGAAGTCCGATAGTGACGAGTATTTATTTAGTTGCGTTATCGTAATGACCTTCTACGTTATCGGTTCTTTAACAGTCGGAATGTTTACACGGTCGGAAAATTCCGTAATCGATTGACCGAAATTAATGAGTCGTTTATTCTCAATCGACATTTGGCGTTGCCATAAATTTGCGGAAATTAAACATTTGATGAGAGCGAGATGTAACCTTAATTCCTATTGCATGTACACTTCATATATGCAGGCGAATAAAAATGTAGCAAAGTGGAATGTATGTCTTATTTTTCTCTGAAATATCTTTGGAGGTTTAGCTAGCTAATGAGGGTTAATGAAGGCTAGGAAGTATGAAGGAGAGGAGAAGGCTTCCGATCAGTAAGGCATACCTTGCCTTAGACGCAAGGATGTATGAAGGAATAAGGCTCGAGTACTAGCGAGAAAGTTTTGTTCCCACGCGCCATCTATCGGCGACGAGTGAAACCGCTATACATCCTTGCCTTGGAAGGATGTATTATTATATGACACATCGATGTCTCATCCTCCATAGTCACCGTATACTTTCAAAGAGCACCGATAACCGAAAGCAACACCGTCGTCATCCTCCATGCGTCACAACCGCCCTATCAACCTACGCATCATAGTTTGTATTTCAAAGGACATTTCCCCAAAACAGTTCAGTTATCCTCAGTCTGTCCATCAATACCACAGTGCTCTGTATGTGATCTCGGACCTCTTGAATAAACCTTGAAAGTAGTAATTTTGGTAGTGTTTGATTACGTCTCCTTGCTGCGGTTAACTGTATGAAGGAATAAGGCTTGAGTACTAGCGAGAAAGTCTCGGTTGCACGCGCCATCTATCGGCGATTAGTGAAACCGCTATACATCCTTGCCTTAGACGCAGGGATGTATGAAGGAATAAAGCTTGAGTACTAGCGAGAAAGTCTCACTCCCACGCGCCATCTGTCGGCGATTAGTAAAACCGCTATACATCCTTGCCTTAGACGCAGGGATGTATGAAGGAATAAAGCTTGAGTGCTAGCGAGAAAGTCTCACTCCCACGCGCCATCTGTCGGCAACAAGTGAAACCTCCACACGCCCCCATAAAAAAATCTTATCCCAACTGTAGTTCAGCCATAAAAACCAAAGCTGAAGCTAAAACTGTAACCTAAGCCCAAAAACTACGCCATGAAGCTTCTGTTAACTTACTACGTCTGTCATTGCAACCAGCCTCGTCCTCCCCATGCGGACAATCTCGTTTCCCATCGCACAGCACAGCCCTAGTCACGCAGCTCTTGCTCTGCTCGCATCTGAACGCCTGCGGAGGGCAGTTCTCTGCACACCGTTCATCAGATCCGTCTCCACAATCAGGTCTACCGTCGCAAACGAAGAACCAGCTGATGCATCTTCCGGAAGTTCGACACTGGAAGGTGCCGGGCGCACATCCCCTGTTGCTGGCGCTGCAGGTGTCGTTACTATAGCCGCAGTCGCAGACGCCCTCGATGCATCGGGAATAGGGATCTGCGAGGCGGCACTCGGTGTCCGATAGGCAATCGAGGCCTAGGCTGACGGGGGTTGCTGGCCTTGTTTCGTGGCGGTCCGCTTTTACGGGCGCTGTGTAGACAGTTTAATCAATTTTTAGGTGCATTGTTATTAGGTACGTTAGGTTTATGATTATGGATCGTGGATGCTGGATAGGTGAGATACAGTGTGACTGGGATATCAGGATTTGTGAATTCCTAAACTTATTAGGTCCACAAGTTCCAAGGTCCTCAAGGTTTTACGTCCCCCTAGTTCCTACGTCCTCAAGCTCTTAGGTCCCCAAATTCTTAGATCCCTATTAGTTTCAAGGACTTCAAGTTTTCTGAGTCGTCAAGTTCCTACGCCCTTAAGTACCTAGGTCCTCAAGTTTTTATTTCAAATATCAAAATTCCCAAATATCTCTAAACATCACCAAGCTTCCCTCTTCATTATACTTTTGGTAGGATTTGCCTTACCCGACACCGAAACAGACGGTCGCACCGTAGTCGTGATCTCAGTGATGGCCTCTATAACAACCGAGTCGTCATTGTCGTCCACATCACTCGTCACCGTCGTCGAAGGGTTCGAAACGATCAAGGTTGGTCCGACGATCACTATACCTGGGGTGGATGTCTCGTTCTTCAACCATGATATCTGTACACCTATAGGACAATCAAAATGGAGTTAGACTTGCAAGATACGAAGTGGACCTTGTGCATCCACAAGATTAAAGCTTCTGGAATTATGTCTCTCGCTTGAACTATTAGTCCAAATATTAATTTTATGTTGGAATTGTTAACCTGAATGATGAGTCTCCTTTTGAGCGCAAAAAGATAAGTCTACTAGACTAAATAAGTCTGGACGTCCATAAGTGTCCCAAGTCCCATCTTGTGGGTCTACAGCCTCATTCGCAGGTATCCTAAGTCTTATCTACCTTGTGGGCTGCATCCCCATTTGCAAGTATCATAAGTCTCATCTACCTTGTGGGTCTACATCCCCATTTGCAAGTATCCTCTATGTCCCATCTTATGGGTCTACAGTCCTAAGTATCCTAAGTATCCTAAGTCCTAAGTATCCTAAGTCCTAAGTATCCTAAGTCCTAAGTATCCTAAGTCCTAAGTATCCTAAGTCCTAAGTATCCTAAGTCCTAAGTATCCTAAGTCCTAAGTATCCTAAGTCCTAAGTATCCTAAGTCCCCTAAGTATCCTAACATAAGTATCCTAAGTATCCTAAGTATCATAAGTATCCTAAGTATCCTAAGTATCATAAGTATCCTAAGTATCCTAAGTATCATAAGTATCCTAAGTATCCTAAGTATCATAAGTATCCTAAGTATCCTAAGTATCATAAGTATCCTAAGTATCCTAAGTATCATAAGTATCCTAAGTATCCTAAGTATCATAAGTATCCTAAGTATCCTAAGTATCCTAAGTATCCTAAGTCCTAAGTCCTAAGTATCCTAAATATCCTTAGTATGGGTCTAAGTATCCTAAGTCCCCTCTTGCAAATATACCTGTCGGATCCTCAACCTCTCGATCAACCCCTTCCGTAGAGCTCGAACTCCCTCCATCAAACAACGGCGGAGGTCTGACCAGATCATCCGGTCGACAGACATCGTTCTCCCTTCGCATCGGCGCCGTGCACTGGCACCGGCCGAACAAGTCTGGTATCAAGAAGTCGCAGTGCGAGTTCTCCTGCCATAGTCGACAGTGAGCGTGCTCGTAGCAGACTTGTCCGAGCTTCGCCGCTGAAACGTGACGGTGCAGGTAGAAACGCGGGCAAACGAGCGTTTCCGGCGATACTCACGACCTAGACAGGTGTGTCGGCGAAATTGCAAGAATCCCTCCTTGCATGAACAGAGGCCGTCGAGGCACGCGCTGTTGGCCACCTTCAACGAGCACTGATCGTCGACTTGGCATTCCTCGCCCAGCAGAGTGGCTGTTTTATAGGAAAAACAGGCGTTAGTATGAGTGTTCGGTTAGGTTAGGTTTGATACAAGTGTGGACGCTGAAGAATCGGTTCTTTTGGGTGTTTTAGTTGTTTATGATTTATTTTAGAGTCAGTTTATGATTTATGGGAGCAAATTAGCTGGGAGGCAGAATTAGGGTATTTTTAAATTTTCACCTAACAAGGTTAGGTTAGAGGAGCAATAAACATTTTTAATCCTTTGATGCACTCATGACGCACCACTGACGCAACCTTATAGCAACTTATGACGCACCCCTGACGCACTCGTGACGCAACCTTGACGCACCCTTGACTCACTCATGACGCAACCTTATAGCAACTTATGACGCACCCTTGACGCACTCGTGACGCACCCTTGACTCACTCGTGACGCACTCGTGACGCACCCTTGACTCGCTCATGACGCACTCGTGACGCACCCTTGACGCACTTGTGACGCACCCTTGACTCACTCGTGACGCGCCCTTGACGCACTCACGACGCACCCCTGACGCACCCTTGACTCACTCATGACGCAACCTTATAGCAACTTATGACGCACCCTTGACGCACCTCTGACGCACTTTTGACGCACCAAAGATGTATTTATGACGCAACCTTATCGCACTTACGACGCACCCTTGACGCACCCCTGGTGCAACCATGACGTATCCTTGATGGCACTCATGACGCACTCATAACACAACCTCGTCACACATATGACGCACCCTTGACGTAATCAGGATGAACTCATGACGCATACATAATGCATCAGTGATACACTCATGACGCATCCTTGACACACCAGTGACGCACACGTAATGTACCAGTGATGCACTCATGACGCACCCTTGACGCACCACTGACGCACACGTAATGCACCAGTGATGCACTCATGACGCACCCTTGACACACTCGCGACACACAAGTGACACACTCGTGACGCACTTCAGCTGTGATCAATTTTCCTCGAATTTTTCATTAGCGTCAATTTGGAGTTCAATTATAATTTGCATAGTCAACGCACAATACCAAATTGGCATAACATTTCAACTTCCCCCGTCTGTTTTAATATTGCAGCCGCGATTAGTTAGTTCGACGCACCTGACAAATCATAGCGCAAGGGGTTATCCGGTGCACCTGCTACAATTTCTACGATTTTGCTGGGCAATATTTTATGTATCAGGAACGTCGACGATTAAGATGTCGAAAAACGATGAGTGGTTTCTCGAAGTGCGAACAATTTTTTGGGAGGGCAATTTGAAGAGACAGGAAAATATGGGATGTATCATAGTAATTGTTCTGACAAATAAATCATAGGGCAAGGATTTAGTAAAGTAGCGTCTGAGATGCGCGGCGCTAAATATTGTCTTCTCACCCTCGACACAGCGTGTCTCATTGTAAACCGCGAAGTACGGCAAACAGCGACAGAAACCGCGGCGACAGTGGCCACCGACGATGCTCGACTCGCACTCTTCGTCCGCTCCGCAGCTGTCGCCCAACTTGCTCGCGGGCGCGAACGGACGCACCGCGGCATCCTGAAACACGTTACACGCGAACTGAAAGATCCTTCCTCGATCGCGCGTTATCGCCAGGTACAGAGAAACCGTTTCGTCCGCATTTTCGCTCCCCCCTTGAACTTCTCACGGTGTTTGTACAGTCTATGGCAAAGGCTATGCTTTCCTGGGGAAATGGTGAAGGAGAGGAGCAAGGACTTTAGTAGATGGTCTTTGAGGACCACACTGAGGTGGTCTTTTACTATTGGGTTTGGGAGATTTGAGGGAGGAGTTATGGGGGATGAGGTTTGGGGGATCAGATTTGAAATTAGATCTGAAGATGTGGGGACCAAGGGATTTGGGGACCAAGGAAGTTGGGGACTTTGAGATTTGGGAATTTAGAAGTTGGGGAATTAAGAGAGGGGGACATAGGTATTTGTGGATGTAGAGATTCGAGGGTGAGATTGGATCTCAAGATTTGGGGATTCAGGAAGTTGAGGACAGTAAGATTTGGGATTTAGGGGTTAGGGCACTTAGAAGGGGGACATAGGAATTTGTGGACCTAGGAGAACTTAAAAACGTATGTAGCTATTTGGGGTCCATGAGATACTGCTACCTCGAGGTTTCGAAAATGTAAAAAATTGTGAATCTGGAGATTTGAGACTCTAGTCCTTTGAGGACATAGAAATTTAATAATAGAGAAAGGTAGCCCATAAATTTTTGACCAAATTTAGAAATCGTAAAGCTTACAAATTTCTCAGTACAAATTTGTAAATGTAATTTAAGAAAATAACCGCAATCCACCTTGCGGTCTAAAAATGATATACTCCAGAATAAAATTGCAAACTACAATGTCCATAATAAGAACTAGCGAAGTCCAATAAATGTCATCGTACGTAGGTTCCTTGCAAACGAGTGTACCTCGCAGCGTACGGGAAACGCGAGCTAACCGGAACGTGGAAACGCGGAAGAGCCTCAAGAGCAGACTCGAGAGAGACAAAGCACAAGTTACCGAGAGGGTGGGAGAGTTCGAAATTGAATATTCGTATCTGATTTGCATCGAACGACGCGACTAACGACTTCCTTCTACGATCTTATAAAGTCATCGTGACAGAAGTCACTTCCGTTCGATTTGCAACGTTAAAGAATCACGCGAAGACTCGGAACTCACCGAACAGATCGCGAGAAGAAGGAAAATTGCCACGCTCTTTCCGCGCATCTCGCACTTTGAATTACCGTTCGATAACAACCCCCGCGTAGAGATCCGAATTCCGATCAATTAGTCGCGTTATCGCGAAAGATAGATGAAGGTACGATGAACGTGTTAGATATCCGCGCGTGCTTCGGAATGACTGAAAGCAAACTGAGCCCCCGTCGGGCGCCCGCGCCGACCCGCGCCGACACCCGTTGGCTTTTGGCCCCTGTACGCGAACGATGGAAAAGCGTTACCTTACTCTCCCACCTTTTTTACCTGTCGGCTCTTCATTTTCATCGTTCAATTTTTTTACTGCTTCAGGATGAAGATTGAAGGATATTATCGGGACGGGACATAAGAGATTTATGGGAATTTGGGAATATAGGTATTTAAGGATCTAGAGATTTTTGGATGTAGAAATTTGGAGATCTGGGAATTTTTGAATTTAGGAATTTTTAGAGGTGAGGAATTTTGGATCTAGGGATTTTTGGATTTGGGGATTTTTGAGTCTAGGGATTTGGGGATATTTGGATCTAGGAATTTTTGGATTTGGGTATTTTTGAGTCTAGGGATTTTTGGATCTAGGAATTTTTGGATTTGGGGATTTTTGAGTCTGGGGATTTTTGAGTCTAGGGATTTTTGAGTCTAGGGATTTTTGGAATCGGGGAATTTTTGATCTAGGGATTTTTGTATTTGGGGAATTTTTGGTCTAGGGATTTTTGGATTTAGGGAATTTTCGATCTAGGGATTTTTGGGTTTAGGAATTTTTCGATCTAGGGATTTTTGGATTTGGGGAATTTTTGGATCTAGTGATTTTCAGAATCTGGGGATTATTGGACCTAGAGATTTTGGGTTGTAAAGATTTGAAGATTCAAGTATTCTTGGATCTTGTGATCTTTTGGAATCTAGCAATTTTCTGGATTTAAGGATTTTCGAATCTAGTGATTTTTTGGATCTAGGAATTTTGAGATCGAATTATTTTGGGGATCTAGTAATTTTGAGATCCAGTGATTTTTTGAAATCTACTCGTTTTTAGAATCTAGTGATTTTTTAGTCTAGAAATGTGTAGAATCCAGTGACTTTTTTAATCTAGGGTTTTTGGCATGTAAAGATTTGAAGATCTAGGAATTTGGGAATGTAGAGATTTAGAAACCTAGGAATTTGTGGATACAGAAATCTCAACATGTAGGAATTTAGAAACATAGAAATACAGAAATGTAGAAACTCAGTGTAGGTACTTTAGTAAACAGGAATTTGGGAACACAATAATTAGAAATAGTGCAACTACCTCAATTACAACAAATCTCGTTGTCCCCGAAACTTCTCTCCCATTCCCAAACTTCCAGATCTTAATCACCAATCCTTTGTTCCGACAATCTTACCGGTGCGTTTAATAGACCGCAATCCTAAGCATGACGTTCGTGAAACGTCTATCACACCTATCCAACTGATGTTACCGGGGAGGGAAAGCTAGGATAGCGTCAATATACCGGCATAGAGCCGCTTCAGTTCGTGCACGGTTGTCGAATAATTAACGTCGAAAATTGAAACGAGGTTGTCCCTGGAACGTACCAATATCGTAACTTCGATGCAGTGCAGCAAACTAGTTTCAGATAACGCTCGCCGTGGTGCATCGTTAGATAGAAATGTTAATTGTCGAATTGCTTTGTTCTCGTAAATAGTAAAATGTATATTAGAAAACGGAACGGTGAGTAACGCGGAGGGGAAAAGAATAGTAGCCGACAACTCTCTCCGAATTATTCGAGTCACGTGTGTAACTTGATTCAAACATTTCAGCCGGTAGTCCGTCGAGACGGATGTTGCACCTCTTCTCTTTTTCATATTTCCCAATAGCACTCTCCATTTCCGTACGTGTGTACTCGAATGCAAAGCAGTATTCCTCTGGACAAGAATGTACTTTATTTTCAAATTGCCGAATTTTCGTGCTTTAAAAATCTTTAGTTCCCAAATTTTTTAAATACTGAAATCACTAGTTTTGATTATTTATTGATCAATTTTCAAACTTTTACATCCACAAATCTATAAATAATTCCCTAGATCTAGAATTCCCTAGACAACAAACTCCCTAGATTGCACATTCTCTAGACCGTAAATCCCCTAGATCCCGAATTCCCTAATTCCAAAATTATCTAGATCTCGAATTCACAAAATCCTGAATTCCCTAGACTCCAAATTCCCTAGTTCTCGAATTCCTCAAATACGGAATTCCTTAGAACCCAAATTCCCTAGATCTCGAATTCCCTAGACCCCAAATTCTCTAGCTCCCGAATTCGTCAAATCCAGAATTCCCTAGATCTTGAATTTCCAAAATCCCAAATTCCCAAGTTCCCGATTTCTCTAGATCCCAAATTCCCTAGATCTCAAATTCCCAAAATCCCGAATCCCTAGATCTCAAATTCCTAAAATCCCGAATTCCCTAGAGTCCAAATTCCCTATGTCTCGAATTCCCTAGATCCCAAATTCCCAAAATCCCGAACCCCTAGATCTCAAATTCCTAAAATCCCGAAATCCCTAGAGTCCAAATTCCCTATGTCTCGAATTCCCTAAATCTCAAATTCCCTAGGTCTCAAATTCCCAAAATCCCGAATTCCCTACATCTCGAATTCCTAAAATCCCAAATTCCCTAGGGCCCAAATTCCCTACATCTCGAATTCCTAAAATCCCGAATTCCCTAGAGCCCAAATTCCCTACATCTCGAATTCCCAAAATCCCGAATTCCCTAGATCCCAAATTCCCCACATCTCTAAATTCTTATATTTCTAAATCACTACATCTCCAGAGCTCTGAATCTCTAAATTCCTGCAGTCCCCTAGCTGCTCATTTCAGCTCATGCAGTATAACGCTTTTTCCCCTGGTTGCAGTATTTTCACTGCAGAAGCTGATTTGCTGTTTACCGTATAAACGAGTTTAATTTCGAATTGTTCCCGAAGGATCGCAAGCGTTAGCGGTTCGTGTGAGGTGCAGAGAAGGCCGGAGGAATGGGAAGCGGGAAGCGGGAAGCGACGAATCGTTGAAGAAACAGGAAGCGGTGCGATGGACTGCGTTGGAATGTAAATTGAGAATCGGCCGAGACACGAACAAAAGAAGAGTCAGCGAGAAAGAGCGCATAGAACGCGTTCACCGCGGGGTAAAGGACCTGCGCGGAAATGCCGTAAAACCGTACAAGGACCGAGATCAAAACGAAACGGTGACTTCATCGAGGTACTGTTTCAACCTCGAATACGTATCGGAACGTGGCACCGTAATCGCGTTCTTCGATTCGCGTCGCGTCGTTACTCATTCACGATCATAGTTCGCGACACGAACGTGGGACATGCAACGATACGAATTTTTTGTGACGGGACGTTTCGCACTCGATTAGATAGGTAATCGCGAATAAGGATGTCCGGAACGTTTCGATATCTTTTCTAATTTATCGCTGTACACGGCCTAATTATGCGTCTTTATCCGACCAAGTATCTGCAAATTATTCTATAATGACGATATTACCCAAGCTTCTTCGACCTCTCCTTTCCCGCTCCCTCTCACCTATTTCACTACGCATTCTCCTTTGTTCCGTGACTCGTCGTTAGCTCGGAATTAATTAAACCTTAGCTATTAATTTTACCGCTTCTCTACTCCTACCAGCATTCGCGAACAAAAGGCGAATGAAAACTCACCGGTTTCTCGTTGCGGAAAAACTTTGATCATTACGTTCGTGTACGTATGTATCTCGTTATGTGATCCTTCCCGCCTATTTTTCCTCGATTCCGTACGTTCTATGAATTCACGAATCTCACGATAAATTTTCTTTTAATGCCTTCCTTATTTTTTTGTTATCTTCAAACTGGCTTGTAACTGTATCCGTAAATTGCGGTACTCATGCACATTTGTAATCAATGCGATAACAAATCATTCATTTAAGTATTAAAAAATCTGTGATTTGAACATTCGCGCGGAGGGACTCAACCAATGATCTATTAAATGTACGGAACGTGCGCGTCGTGTGTTTCTGCACCTAACATTATTAGCAGAAGTTACATCGATTTTCCACGATTTTTCTCGTCAACTTTGATTAAATCTAACCTTTAAAAAAACATCGAGAGGATAAAATAAACCGCGCCAATAATCTTCGTTCGAACGTTTTCTGTGTACCGAAAGAAACGATTACGCAACTCGTTCGATAGTCTATCCACATGTGTCGCTTTCGTCGACTGTGCTTCGAAGAAAATTGATCGCAACAAAAAGGTTAGGCGTTAGGAAAATTTCGAGAAAAATGGCACTACGTTGCGGAAGAATGATTTTTACCCCTGGTAAGAATACATGAGCTTCTTGAGTTGTTCGTTAGTAGCGAAATAAATTTATTGCGAAACAATGACAAAAAATAGTTTTGCACTTTCTAACGATCTAATGGTTCCTCCGAAATTAGGGATTGTGCGAGAAGTTCCGACTAGAATTTATTGTTTTGTTCGATACTGAACGAGAAAATTCGTTTGTTTCTTTTCAGCGCTGAGGAATGCCGTGAAACAGTTGTTTTACGTCGAGCATCTCATCAGCAACGTAAGAAAACATGGTTATGACTTTCACGGTTAAATGTTTTTTTTGCGATCATCAACCTTTTTTGCCTTTTCCAGCATGTCTCCCACAATTTACGGACAAGCTATTATTTTCCGTGTGTTACGTCACAACGGCTTTATAGCGAAAAGCAAGTATATTCTAGAGATAAGCCACATTGTAATGTAGGCACCATCGGTCACGTCGATCATGGAAAAACAACGCTGACCGCAGCTATCACCAAAGGTGTGTTTCACATATTTAATCTATTCTTCTTTCCTCATTTCAATTTTGCAGCATCTTATAATTACCATTTCTTGTTTAGTACTTGCCGAGAAGAATCTGGCAGCAGCAAAACAATATGCAGATATCGATAATGCCCCAGAGGAAAAGGCTCGTGGTATTACTATTAATGCTGCTCACATCGAATACCAGACAGAAGCTCGCCATTATGGACACACAGATTGTCCAGGACACGCGGATTATATTAAAAACATGATCACAGGATCAGCTCAGATGGACGGTGCTATTCTTGTTGTCGCAGCCACAGACGGTACTATGCCTCAAACGAGAGAGCATCTTGTTCTTGCTAAGCAAATTGGCATTGACCACATTGTTGTTTACATTAACAAGGTAAGTTCTTTAGTTAAATTGTACAAATATCTGTGTAGGCATGTTTTGAAGTTGTTTTGTTCGATAAGGTTGATGCTGCAGACGAAGAAATGGTAGAGTTGGTCGAGATGGAAATACGAGACTTGATGTCTGAAATGGGTTACGATGGAGCCAAAGTACCTATTATTAAAGGCAGTGCGCTCTGCGCGTTGGAGGGTACCAAACCGGAGATCGGTAGTGATTCTATAATAAAGTTACTGGAGGCCGTAGATCAGAGTATTCCGACTCCGGTTAGAGATTTGGATAAGCCTTTCTTCATGCCTGTGGAAGGCGTGTACTCGATCGCTGGTAGAGGAACTGTAGTCACCGGTAGATTAGAACGTGGAAAGTTGAAGAAGGGTACCGAATGTGAATTGATCGGGTTCAATAAGGTTATCAAAACCACGGTAACAGGAATAGAAATGTTTCATAAAATATTGGAGGAAGCACAAGCTGGGGATCAGATGGGTGCTTTACTCAGGGGTTTAAAACGAGATGATGTTAGAAGGGGTATGGTGCTTTGTAAACCAGGCTCAATGAAAGCCAATGATCACTTGGAGTGTCAAGTATACATGTTGACTGTTGCTGAAGGAGGTAGGAAAAAGCCAATGAGTAACTATATGCAAGTACAAATGTTTTGCAAAACGTGGGATGTTGCTACCCAAGTTCACTTAACAAATAAAAATATAATTATGCCTGGTGAAGACTTCACGTAAGTATTAAAAACTCTTTTGTCACTAGTGTAAGATTCTATCGTTTTTTTTTTATTTTTAGAGTTGTATTAAAATTAATAAGACCAATGGTTTGCGAGAAAGGATCACGGTTTACCTTAAGAGACGGCATGAAAACGTTGGCAACTGGAGTGGTTACGAATATCTTGAAACCTCTTACAGAAAATGACAGGAACTTGCTTCTTGAAGGCAAAAAGAAACTTCTGCAAGCAGCACGGGCTTAATTTTATCCTTGTTCGTGCGCGTAATCGTATTTGTATCTCAACTTGTATTGTCGTCCAGTCTTGACGAACCTTAAAGACATTCGCATATATACATCTGTTAGTATTGTGTCGAGAAATAATTTTCTTTATTTTATATGCGTACAGGCATTTTCTAAATTTATTCCAGCTTTCCGTTTCCAGTTGCAACAAATTACTTTTTTAACATGTTGTTACTATTAAATGATATGTCATTATTACAAATATAAGTATTCCACCACAATTGGTTGTATATAACTCAAAGATATTCCTTACACGTTCAGACTATTGTTTCAGTCTTCAACATCGCTATCATTGATACTGCGATAACTAAATAGATAAAAAAGACTACATTTTCTTTACTCTCGTAGTATAAAGCATCGAGTATATAGAAATGTTTCGAAAATGTAACTTTAAAAAACAGTTCAATGATGATTTATTTAATTCAATACATCAACGGTACAAGCTGCTTTAAGCAGAATTTTAAAACACTCAGTAATTGGTGCTTCTTTGCTTCTCTGATTTTTGTAGTTTCTCAGTGTTGACAGAAATTTGATGGCATTTATGTACACGGTTTTATCGTGCATTGTACATTGTCATTAGTAACGAAATACAGGAATTGGGGAAAGGAACATACGCAGTGTTTTATCCGTCTGCCAACGAAACTACCGTTTTGTATAGAAAAGAAAAACACTGTTTATATAATTTAAGTTGAACAAATCATACACTCACCTTCGCTTATAAAAATAATAAACAGTTCTCATTATCGTGGACAGGCGCAACTGACTACAAACCGTTCTTCGTTCTAATTGAAACATTATTTCACGCGATAAAACTGTGGCTTGGAATCGTGAATTATCCGCAAAAATTGTCACTGCACTGCTCAACCAATTTATAGGTACTATTAATCAAAATCTTTTTATTCGTTCGTTATCGCGCAACCAGCATGTAAAGTAGCAGCAAAAGTTACGTTATCAATTGGTAAAAAGACTGGACTATTTTGACAGCTCCAGTTTGTTGTTTATTGGGTATATATGTGTGTGGCCTGTAAACGTTAACGTCAGTGTTTCGTACAACATCGAAAGATTCTTTCTCGTAGAATTAATGTTTGGTTTACGAGCTAAAACGTCGCAACAGTTCATTCAAAAGCAGACAATTTACTATGTTTTCCCGCAGAGTACAGAAAAATTAGACAAATTAACTATGTTGAAGCTTAAAGTCAGCCAGCCAGTAAGGCTTCTAATAGTAAATTATATACCGATATTACGTTGCATACATCGTTTCACGCGACGCATACGCGCACTCACGCATACACATACGTATTACATTAACGAAAGAAAGAATGTAGAACGAGCACAATTTCAGGTATGAAGTGATTTTTCGCGACAAAGTCGTAACTTGAAATTATGCTCTCAAAATTAGTGGGAAGGACGCTGATTCGTACAATGTTCGTTCAAAATTAGGCATCGCGCGAAACCACGTTCACGAACGGGAATTCTTATGCACGCAGAAACAACGTTCAATTCCTACATCCTTTCTGAAAGTTTGAAAAACGCCAAGTCACAGAAATATTTCTGCCATTATTATTTGCATCGGGTGACGAACCAAACTATGCGCGAATGTTAATTCCTTCGAAGAAAGAATCTTCGACCTATGAAGAGGCACGAGTACACGACGTAACTGTGTACGCTGGTGTACAATTTGCCTCTGTTTATATTGTACACACGACGTAACAAACTAAAGATCTTCGTCGTCTTCCGGTAACGCGGTGTCTTGAGCCTCCTTGAGGTCCTTTTCGATTTGCTGCTGCCATTGTGGATCCATGGTAACTTCGGGAGGAAGAAGAGCTGGCATTGCGACGAATTCCAGATTGGGATCACCGATCAATTTACGTGCCAACCATAAGAAAGGTTTCTCGAAGTTGTAATTACTTTTTGCGCTGATGTCATAGTACTGAAAATATATATGCAGGGAACATTAATTTCTATTCGCACAAAAAATTTATGCATTAAACTGTCTATGTATATATCAGATTAGAAGGACAAGACATCACGATCGTTAAGATTGTGAGTTATCATCATGAAGTACCATGGACAAAGAGGTTAGTAACGCGACAAGTTTTATTACCTGCAAGTTCTTTTTTCTGTGGAAAACGATGCTTTTGGCTTTGACCTTCCTGTCTTTGATGTCAACTTTGTTGCCACAAAGTACAATAGGTATGTTCTCGCAAACTCTAACCAAATCCCTATGCCAGTTGGGTACATTTTTGTACGTAACTCTTGACGTAACATCAAACATGATGACGGCACATTGTCCTTGAATATAGTAACCATCTCTGAGTCCACCAAACTTTTCCTGGCCAGCTGTGTCCCACACATTGAATCGAATCGGCCCTCGATTTGTATGAAAGATCAAGGGATGCACCTCGACGCCCAAGGTTGCTACATACTTCTTTTCAAATTCGCCGGTTAAGTGCCGTTTGACGAATGTGGTCTTTCCGGTACCACCGTCTCCAACCAGAACGCATTTGAAAGTCGGTATATCGGCTTCCTGTGCCATTTTCCTTCTGTCCTTGACGATTCAAAAGATAGATCTGAAAAAACAACGACGAGGTTCGATGATATGTATGAGACGTTAGTCGAAGAAAACAATTTCACACGACGAAACTTTCACGTGTTTGATCGCATATTGCGGTAAAAGAATCGGCCGCAATATCGTACACGTCAGAAAATCTTTCTCAGCATTTCGGAAATTGCTGGAAGATGCTTGATCGTATCACGCGTTAAAAACGTGATTGACGATTCGCCCATAAAAGATACGAGGCTCGAGGAGTCGAAAACGATAGAATTTGTTAGCCGTTGAACAAACGAACCTACGAAAGCGTTACTTTATTGTAGTTTCAACGTTAATTTAGAATGCCGGTTAGACAATGTCCCGCGCTCACGAACAAGCCGACGTTACGTACCACTTCACCACGTTCTGTGAAAAGAATGGCGCCTCTGGTTGTAACACAAGCTTTCGCACTTATCTTACAACACGATCACCTATTATTTAAGCACAGTTATACACGACTGAGTAAATTAACAATTAATTTATAACAAACGTATGAAAATCTGATGAAATGGGTACAAAATTTCCCGGCAAGCGACGTGTACGTGAAAATGACCGATAAAACTTACTCTGGAACACAGTCGTTACGGCTCACAATGGCGTTCCTTCAACTCGACGATAGGGGTCCGCGTTCTCGTCATTCACTAAATAAATATTAGGTTCAAGTTAAAAGAGCTATTCCATCTATACGATATACAAAAATTGAAGTCGCATACTACCTAAATCGAATCATTAAAATAATGAGTACGAAATTAATTTTTTCAAAAAAACCGTAATAAGTGGGTACGGCGATATAACGCCATCTACTTTAGGCGCGCCACATCGAGCCGGTATCGAAGATCTTTAGTTTTAACGAGAGGATCAGATTCTATGGACGTGGAACAAAGTACCGGCGTGCGAGGGCGCGTTCAGTCGATTCGGCGGTAAAAATTAAATTTTTAGCGACCACAGCGTGGATGTCGACTTTTATCTTTGATCGGCCTAATTAATTTCGGTTGTATCGAACGAAATACTTCAGCACGTACAAAGTTGACGATACAAAAACAATTATTTTTTAAATTTTGTCGTTGAAGTATTACCGTTATAATTTCGAGTGTTTTTTTAACGACTAGTTTTCTCTCGTTTCATTCGATAATGAAGTATATCGATACCGTTTACGCGGTACTCGTAATTGAAACGCACGCATTGATCGCGAGTTATTAGATGGAATTGACAGGATTGAAAATACGCATCAAAGTGATAGAGGAGTGAAGTGTTGTCATGGATTGACGTTACGACAGTACGTTTCTTGTCGTACGCGCAAAAGCGTGGAATATATTGCATCGGTTGGGGCTACAAAGGACATAGGTTCGGTCCTGAGCAGAGTTGACGTCAGCGGCGCATGCGTGTCAGAACGGACGGCACTGCAGAAGCAGGCGAGTTCGCGAGTGTATCGATTTTACGATCGTGTCTCTCGCCGCTAGTGCGTCCGTTTCCTTTAGTTTTTAGTGGCCGTGCTCGTAGTACATGGATAAAATCGTGAATGGGATTAGTCGCTAGTCTCTTCACACCGTACACCCGCTGACTCGCAACTCTTCGTCACCCTCGCCATGACCAAGGATAGATTAGCAGCCCTCGTCGCGGTGAGTGTCGAACAACTACGTCTATTTTTCGAAACCGAGCTGAAACAACCTGACAACTACATAATTTGCTCGTCGACTATCTCGCTCCTCCCTCGTTCTCTCTTTCTTCCGTCTCTCTTTCTCTTTTTCTCATCATTTCCTTCGTTCTTACTCTTTCTCTCGCTCTATCATTTTCTCCCCCTTTCTCTCTCTTTACGCATCTCTTTACTTTTCTAACTGACGCGCGCTTTCTCTCTCGCGGATCTCGTCATTCGTTAATGATATCGTTGCGTGTTGCATTTTCCCGTGATTCACGTTTCGCCAGGCGAATCAAAGGGAGATTATGCTCGTGCCCGGTATATAGGTACGCGCAACTCGTTGCTCCTTTCAACGCGATCAAAATTTTCTCCTCAAAACCGTCTGTCATTGAGCGAATCGATGTTCGGATTTCATTTACGAGGAAAGAAGAAAGAAGGCGTTTCCGCGGTGTCTAGCCGACTGTCATTCGTTGAGTGGTTTTATAGCGACAAGGAAAGAGAAGAGAGCGGAAGAGAAAGAGAAAGAGAAAGAGAGAGATTATATGCGTGCGCGCGTGTGTATGTGTGTGTGTATGCGCGTATGAAGTAGCAAGAGATGGGACGGCGGGGGCAAACGCTAAAGCCTACTGTGACTGACAGGTGTTTGCCAATATATGTTTTTCGTCATCGTTTATTTCGTAACGATGACAGAGTTAGCGGTGCCGGTACAAATACGTATGAGCGAACGCGGTTTACCGCGAAGGATTTACTCATTCTCCTCAAAAAACAAAGAACGAATCATTCTGCAGCAATTTTCATAGTTTGATAATGGAAGGTGACCGATCCTCGTGTCGGTGCAGAGCGGGTGTCGATGACTCACAAGCGCCGACTAACACCTATGAGAAGCGTGTATCTGGGCGTATCTGGGCGCACCGCGTATTCGACACTAGTTTTTTCCCTTTTTTTATTTTGCATAGAGAATGTGTTCCAGCGAAGATCTTGACCAATCACATCTCTTGTCCTTATTTGTACTTGACGTTACTGTCATGCTCATCGTTAATCGATTTATTTCGATTTACGATCAAAATCGATTTTCAAACTACTATTAGAGGTATAGAATGTAACGGAATGTAGAACATAACATGTCTGACGCTATCGGGGATCGAGATCGTTTCGATTGGCGCGAATGTCAAGTAAAACAAGGAATATGTCCCCGATGTAAGAAAAACGAACAATGAGTTAAAAGTATCGGACGATTGGTATCTGGTTAAGGTCGATAGGTCGAGGAAGTAAGAGCAAAGGGTTAGAGAAAGGAGATCGATGAAAACGGTATAATATATATACGCGTACTTGTATGCATATATCGATCGTTGAACGTCGACTCGAAGACCGGATGCGAGACTCGATTTTCCCTTGGCGTTCGATTTTTGGGTCTCGAAATCGAGTCGATTATATGCTACGCAACGTCTTGTAACGATCGCTTGACGCGCGAGTCTTTCATCTTTCCTCGTTACACCTTCGATATTCGTTTTGTCCTTCGATCGCGAAGGAGGTCACGGGACCAGACGGATCCGAGAGATCGCACGGCCGTGTCCTCGCGAACGATCAGTGCGAGACACCTTACTATCGCTTGCTACTTCCTTGGAAGGGACACTAGCCTCTCGACTTCCATTTTTACATGGACATGGAAATCCCGCTATTTTATAATTTGTAAGTGAAATTTCTAGATTCTTACATTTTTTTAATTCTACATTTGCTGAGTAAATTTTTGGACTGTGAAAAATTGTATGTTGACCAAATACAGGAAGTATTGAAAAATCTCAAATTTCAAAATGTCAATTGGTTCTAAAATATTTTCCTTAAATTTCTGAAATTATCTGTAAAAATCCTTAAATATTTTTAATTCTAAACTTGCTGGGTAAATTGCCAACCTATGAAAAATCATACATTCACCAAATACTGTCAATTTGGTCAATAATACTAAAAAATTTCAAATCTCAAAATTTTCAAATTTCAAAAATGTCAATAATTTTAAAATGTCAAACGTCCCAAAATAATCTCCCTAAATTCCTAAAATTGTCCAAATCTGTCAAAATCCCCATGACTACCAAAATTGACGAAATGAAGTGTCACAATTAGTCATAAAATGGCGGTAAAATTTGAAACGGCAAATGCGAGTGTACGGAAGAAAGGCTATTAGCGAAACAGTAATCGCGATGGTGGTCGATCGGTCGTACGAAAACGTTCGACGTTGATCGCGTGCGGATAATTGGAGCAGTTAAAATAAAAGCGAAACGGTCGAATACCCGTGCGCGAGTAAGTGCACGCAATGCGTAAGCGTAGAACGTGTGGTGGCAGCGGGTGTTCGATCGGGTAGTGACTAGAGGTTTAGCACCCTGTTTACGGGACGTTGAACCTTCCCTTTTCGTTTGGCAAGTTGCTCGTTTTCGTAGATCAGGAATGCGATCGATAAGGAATATTTTTATTTATTTTTCAGGCCCAGTCGGACGACGATGACGTTACGGACGATGTGCCCCACAGCGGCGGGGCGGCCGATGACTTCATGACAGAGTTTTTCGCGGAGGTAAGTACTTTTGTACATAACCTATACTAGGTACTAGTACTTTTTTCCTCGGACTGTTTCCTCCTGCTATTCGTTTCCGTTGGATTCCATTGTTATCGCGGCTGTTTTACCCTTCCGTGGTTTTATCTCTGTTCGATTAACTCTCGAATGTCCTGCGACTGACATCGTAGGTTATAATCGCAAGCGGTTGACCGCCATGATGGTTATCGGCAACCGGCACGTCAATTTCGGTCGAATTAATTATTTCAGAGAAATATAGCTTTTTAACTACGTTTAATATATTTAATTTTAGTAATAATTGTAGCAATATATTATTATTACTAGTAATGCTATGTTGTATTATTAATAGTACATAGTGGTATTAATTTTGTTCTTCAATTTGTGAATAATGACAGTCATAATGTGTTACTATTATTAGTAACAATAAAATCATAGTAACAATAATATATTATTATTACTATTAATACTATTTTATATTATTAATAATAGTATAGTGTTATAAATTTTATTCTCCAATCTGTTAATAATGACAGTCATGATAATATATTATTATCATTAACAAAGATAAAATTAAGAAATTAGTATTATTATTATCTTCAACCCTGTTTTTCAACAATAAATTATTGTTACTATTACCATTAAAAAATTGAAGGATAAAGATGAGGAATCAATTGTTAGTAATTATGTATTTCGCTATCGGAAATTTTCCACGGAAGTTTTTTGTAAAATTGCATAATGTGCAAATCAACTCTTCTGTTTGTTTCTTGTATCTGTACCTTGTTAATTTCTTACGTATTCTATTATTTTGGTAAATCGCGACAGAGACACGTTATCACGATCGAATTGGTTTACGAATGTAGATAGAAGGATTAGCACGAGCTACCGATTCTATTCGAGATACCGCTATCGTAGGAAGATACGCTCGCGGGAAACGAGAGATCGTAATCGTTTCGTGTCGATATCGAGGAATCGGATAAACACGAGTTCGACCGAGAAATTCACGCATCGTCGAGTTCGAACTCGAATTCCAAGTTTTTTCGTTTCGCGTTTGGACCAATATTCGTAACGTATACATCAAGATGAGGTTATCGATTGTCGATATATTATCGATATATATTATTGTATCTTATTGGCACTTGACGTGGAGTGATTGGTATAATCAGAGTGGTATAACATGTAACTTTAAATAACATTGTTTAAATTTAAAATTATTTAATTTTATTATTTATATTAATTTTTGCTGAAACTTTAAATCTAACCTATTTCACCTAACCTAACCCATTAATCCTAACATTGGAATTTAATTATTTTTTCCAAAGTTAAAATCTGATTCAAGATTTTCTTTGTTTAAATTTTTAATGAAACTTGAACTAACGCGGAGTAACACAGTAATGTTAGATCTAGTGTTAGAGCCTCACTTGACCTAACCTAACCCATTAATCCTAACATTGGAATTTAATTATTTTTTTCAAAATTAAAATATGATTCAAGTTTTTCGGTGTTTAAATTTTTATTGAAACTTGAACTAACATAGAGTAACACAATAGTGTTAGATCTAATGTTAGAACCTAACCTACCTTGACCGAACCTTAACCTAACCTGACTGACGTAATTTTAAACCATACTTGAACATAATATAACAGTAGTATTTGATCTAACCCAAATAATATGACCTAACTGATAAATGAATAATATCTTCAATAACCTAACCTCACCTAACCCAAAGCTTGCTCCATCCATAAATTTATTGCTGAATTTATTTTTATGTAAATTTCAAATCCAACATGATTCATGAATTATAAAAAGGTTAGATTTAACCGTAATACTCCATCACTCAGTTAACGAAATGTTAATCTCGTTATCGATGACATTTCGATATTTATCGATAGTACATATTCCGGGTTCACGCGTGGGAAGATCCCCAAAGGTGAAACGTTGCGCAGATCGTCGCCGTAGAAACGTCAGCCGGATTCTTTCGTCGCTTTTGATGTTCTGGAAACGAAATTCGTTACCGTCTTTTCCGTTGACGATTTACGATAACGTTCGACGTCGCGACGGCTCGTTTCTGAGACGATTCCCCCCTTTTCTCAATACCACAGTGGTCGTTTCGAAAGTGGGACGAACATGGGGAAAATAATTTTTACAATATCCATACTATGTACAGGGCGTCTCACAACTAGTGTCCCTGAAATGAGGGAGAGGTGATTCTGAATAAGATTTCCCTTTGTAAAAATGGGCGTTAAAGCTTCGTATTTGAATTATTAAGGAATATAATTTTGTACTTCGTAATTTCCATGCGCTGTATTTCCACGCGGCGTAATTTCCTCGCGCTATAATTTCTACGCGCCATAATTCCACGCGCTGTATTTCCACACGCCGAAATTTCTACGCGCTGTAATTCCACGCGCCGTAATTTCCACGCTCCATAGTTTCACGCGTCGTAATTTCCACGCGTCGAAATTTCTACGCGCCGAAATTTCTACGCGTCATAATTCCACGCACCGATTTTTCTACGTGCTGTATTTCCACGCACCGTAATTCCCACGCGCCGTAATTCCCACGCGCCATAATTCCCACGCGCCATAATTCCACGCGTCGTAATTCCCTCGCGCCGTAATTCCCACGCGCCATAATTCCACGCGTCGTAATTCCCTCGCGCCGTAATTCCCACGCGCCATAATTCCACGCGTCGTAATTCCCTCGCGCCGTAATTCCCACGCGCCATAATTCCACGCGTCGTAATTCCCTCGCGCCGTAATTCCCACGCGCCATAATTCCACGCGTCGTAATTCCCTCGCGCCGTAATTCCCACGCGCCATAATTCCACGCGTCGTAATTCCCTCGCGCCGTAATTCCCACGCGCCATAATTCCACGCGTCGTAATTCCCTCGCGCCGTAATTCCCACGCGCCATAATTCCACGCGTCGTAATTCCCTCGCGCCGTAATTCCCACGCGCCATAATTCCACGCGTCGTAATTTCCACGCGCTGAAATTTCTACGCGCCATAATTCCACGCGCCGTAATTCCCACGCGTCATAATTCTACGCGCCGTGACTCCCACGCGTCATAATTCCCATGCGTTGTAATTCCCATGCGCCATACTTCCACGCGCCGTAATTCCATGCGCCGTAATTCCTTGCGCCGTAATTCCCATGCGCCATAATTCCACGCGCCGTGATTCCCACGCGTCATAATTCTACGCACCCTAACTCCCACGCGTCATAATTCCCACGCGCCATAATTCCACGCGCCATAATTCCACGCTCCGTAATTCCCACGCGCCATAATTCCACGCCCCGAAATTTCTACGCGCCATAATTCCACGCATCTGTTTTTCCTTAATAATTCAGAAACGAAGCTTCGAGTCCCAATTTTGCAAAGGAAAATTTTATTCGGCATCAGCTCCTCCATATTTCAGGAAAACTAGTGGGACACCCTGTATATTTTTTTCATTATTTTTTGTCTTTCTGTCTCGTTTATTTTTTAACAAAATAGATGATGCATTTAAAGCGTCTCAACTAACTTTTAATTAACGCTATTTTTATACAACTTTGCATAGTTATTAATTTAAGTGTCTAGTACTTCTTAACAGTCTATTTTGTAATTCACTCCGACAGAATTATGTACATTCCGTTTCTTTTTGAGCTGTAAACTTTTCAACAGGATTTTTCTTTTCTTTCCCAACAATTTGCTTCGGGAGTCCTCATTTTCCTCGTGAAACTGCTCGCACTTTTCACGCTTACGAAGTTACTGAAATACCTGTAGTACAGACAGTACTAACTGTAACAAGAAAACACAATACATTCGTATAATTTATATGACATTCATATAATGTATGTTCATGCAATATTCATATAATTCATATATTTTCATACAATATTCATATGATTCATTTCAATGAAATATTTCCATAATTCATATTGAAACTCTTATGTTTGTATTGTTATATTCTCTACAATCTAGAGATTCAGATTCAAATGATGTTTCATACTTTTTACAAAATAACCCGAATGTTTTTCAATTGTCTAAACGATGGTTATACTTTGAATTTGCAAATTTCTTTTTGATATCCACTGTTAGCAAATTACTTGTAAAGCAAAATCCCTAGAAATCCGTAGGCGTCCCGAAATCCCTAGATTTCCAAATACTGTCTATCTAGGCAAGTAGGAGCGGGCGATCCCTGAATTCAAACGGTTCAACCGTGAAGCTCTCTGTCTCTCTGGACGCACCGGAAGTTCTCTTTCGGTGCATTCTCGGAGGATCGAGACACATCGAGACCCCGTAGCCGATGCAATGCTATTGGTTCCCGTCGTCGTCACCTGTTAATTCAAAGCTGCTTGATTCCCTAAATCCCAAGATTCCCTAGGTCCCAAGATTCCCTAGGTCCCAAGATTCCCTAGGTCCCAAGATTCCCTAGATTCCAAGATTTCCTAGGTCCCAAGATTCCATAGGTCCCAAGATTCCTTAAATCCCAAGATTCCCTATGTCCCAAGATTCCCTAAATCCCAAGATTCCCTAGGTCTCAAGATTCCCTAGATTCCAAAATTTCCTAGGTCCCAAGATTCCCTAGGTCCCAAGATTTTCTAGATCCCAAGATTCCCTAGGTCCCAAGATTCCCTAGGTCCCAAGATTCCCTAGGTCCCAAGATTCCCTAGGTCCCAAGATTCCCTAGGTCCCAAGATTCCCTAGGTCCCAAGATTCCCTAGGTCCCAAGATTCCCTAAATCCCAAGATTTCCTAGATCCCGAGATTCCCTAGATCCTGAAATTCCCTAGGTCCCAAGATTCCCTAAATCCCAAGATTCCCTAGGTTCCAAGATTCCCTAAATCCCAAGATTCCCTAGGTCCCAAGATTCCCTAGATCCCAAGATTCCCTAGATCCCAAGATTCCCTAGATCCCAAGATTCCCTAGATCCCAAGATTCCCTAGATCCCAAGATTCCCTAGATCCCAAGATTCCCTAGATCCCAAGATTCCCTAGATCCCAAGATTCCCTAGATCCCAAGATTCCCTAGATCCCAAGATTCCCTAGATCCCAAGATTCCCTAGATCCCAAGATTCCCTAGATCCCAAGATTCCCTAGATCGCAAGATTCTCTAGATCCCAAGATTCCCTAGATTCCAAGGTTCCCTAGATCCAAAAATTCCCCAAATCCCAAAGTTTCGAAGGACCAAAATCCTGAGATCCAAAAATCCCCTCGATCCAAAATCTCAAGATCCCAAAACTCCCAGATCCAAAAATTCCCTATACCCTAAATCCCAAAATTCCCTAGACCCCCAATTCCCCAGATCTTCAAATCCCGATACCCCTGCACCCTGAAATCCCCAAATAAAATTCCCTAGACAAAATCCTCTACCCTAAAAAATCCCCTAGATCCCCTAGATCTCTAACTCCCTAAATTCCCAAGTCCTTATATCCACAGATTTCATCATTTTTAAATATCCAAAAGCGCCATTCAGTAATTGATGTATCTCCACATCGCAGAATTCGAAAAGTTACCAGATCGCGTCCAATACACAATACGTAGACTGTGTCAATATAAATTGATGGTACGCGGCAAAAAAGCTGGTTACGCAACTGCGAGCGAGTAACGCGGAGGACACGATCGCTCGATTAAATCGCTCGGATGTCTCGCGCTGTTCTCGATTCCCACGCCTGTTCGAACCTGCTCGATACACCCTTCCTTAATCTCCTCGCAGGACACTGTGTTTAACTGGTTCTCGTTTTTCTATAGGTGGAGGAGATCCGCGAAATGATAGACAGGATCCAGACGAACGTCGAAGATGTGAAGAAAAAGCACAGTGCCATCTTGTCGGCGCCACAGACCGACGAAAGTGAGTCAAAATCGTTTCATTCTTTCTCTGCGAATATAAAAAATTTCGGTCCGTATATCAAATATTGCTTGAACGAGAATTCGACGTTTCGCTGCAAATGCTTTTTAGGAGACGCCGGTTTTAAATCCTTGAACATCGCTTTCAATTTACGGTTGAATTTTTTTTTTATCGCGGGTTACAAGCTAACAGTTTCGCGCTTAATAAAATCTTGATAAATAATGCACGGGTTTAGAGACACTTTGTGGCATAATACGGCTCGCAATTTTTGCCACCGACAATTATAGTCCACGAGATATTCTGCACCGAGGGTTTTGTACTACACTGTTTGCACTTTCGAGCGAGTGGGCGTAAAAGCTCTGCCTGCAAAACCTCGAGCGTGGGTTCCCGATTTTTCTTTCTGCGGAATTAATTACTATTTCAGTTGTCAAATGAAAATCATTGAATTGTAAATTATTTCTCTATTTCCACTGGTTTGTACAGTAACGTTAATTCGATGAGATTGCTATCTTTATTATGAGAGTTCTACGAATTCCCTAGATCCAAAAATCCCTAAATTCCCAGTTTCCCAAATTTATAAATTTGCAAGTCCCGAAATTCCTTGATCGCCAAGCTCTGAAATCCCTTTTTTCCAACTCCCGAAATCCCTAGATCATGAAATCCTTAAATTGCCTCTGAAATCCCTAGAACCCAAAATTTATAAATTTGCAAGTCCGGAAATTCCTTGATCGCCAAGCTTCGAAATCCCTAGATCATAAAATTCCTAAATTGCCTTTGAAATCCCTAGAACCCAAAATTTATAAATTTGCAAGTCCCGAAATTCCTTGATCGCCAAGCTCCGAAATCCCTTTTTTCCAACTCCCGAAATCCCTAGATCATGAAATCCTTAAATTGCCTCTGAAATCCCTAGAACCCAAAATTTATAAATTTGCAAGTCCCGAAATTCCTTGATCGCCAAGCTCCGAAATCCCTATATCATAAAATCCCTAAATTGCCTCCGCAATCCCTAGAATCCCTAAATCCTTAAATTCCCAGTTCCCCAAATTTCGAAATCCCTATTTCCCAAATCTGGAAATCTCTAGATCACCAAATCCCTAAATTGCCTCCGAAATCCTTAGAATTCCTAAATCCCTAGAATCTCTAAATCCCCAGAATTCCTAAATCCCTAGAATTCCTAAATCCTCAGAATCCTTAGAATCCCTAAATCCTCAGAATCCCTAAATCCCCAGAATCCTCAGAGTCCCTAAATCCCTAGAATCCCTAAATCCCCAGAATCCTTAGAATCCCTAAATCCCCAGAATCCCGAAATCCCCAGAATCCTGAAATCCCCAGAATCCTTAGAATCCCTAAATCCTCAGAATCCCTAAATCCCCAGAATCCCTAGAACTCCCAGTTCCCCAAATCCCTAAATGTCCAAATTCCAAAATCCCTAAATCCCTTCCTTCATCCCTAGAACCCAGAATCCCGAATGTAGATCACGAAATCCCTAAATAGTGAAGTTCCGCCTCTTCTGCCGAACGAGATTCAGCTTTCAAGAAGAACAAGCAGCTCGATCGATCTCCTCTCGCTAGACCGCCTCGATGCATAAAACCGAACGAGTAAGCACGTGCGCGCGAACATCGATCCTCGCCACTCGAGTTTCGATTCCAACGAGACGCTCCCGGTTTAAGTTGTCTCGTTTACGGGCAACCACGTTGCCCGAGCGGCGAGCTTCGAACACGGATAATTCGCCACGCCTCCGGAGACCTTTGACCCCTTTAACCCTGCACAAAGACAAACGCCGCGTTTCGCGAACAACGCCGGAAGGAACGAAGAAATCACCACAGATTCGCCGAGAGAAGACTCGAGTTTTCACGAAATTCCGCGAGATAGGCACGCTGTTTTCATACTCTACCGGAGTTTTCATTTTATTGACGTACTGTTTGCTCTTTTCTACCGACGAGATGACAATCGCTGATAAATTTAGAGCGAAAATAAGACCACCCACATTCAATCGTTCGATACTCATTATTTCGAGAGACACTTAACATTTAATTCTTTGATTGGATGCGTTATAGCAGTACAGTAATTTGTAACAATCGAAAAACAACAGTTAACATAAACACAGATGCACTAGAGGTTCTTTTACGATGCTCGAGGAATCATATACAGTTGTGTATGTTAATATGATTCTGTTTCGTTTTATTAGTTATGATGTAACAAATCGCTAAATCTAAGAATTTTGATTCCTTACACGCATCAATTCACTTACAGCTGCATCAATGAGCAAGAAGAGATTAATGCATGCATCAATGTTAGAAAAATAAAAATTAAAGATAAGGCAATGTCTCTTTCAACAGCTTCCTAATAAAAATTTCTCTGAGCCCCTCAACAAGGTCTTCAGACGAATTTGTATCAAGACCCGAGAGGATAAAGAAACCTAGTACGTATTTGAAAGGCGCTCGCTAAACACCTCGGTCGAAATCTCACACGTTCATCGAACTATTCCAATTAGCACACTGGTAGCTAAGAGGTACAAGTACCGGAGAGTTGATACGGACAAGTGCAAGCATTCGGAGGAACGGTCGACAATGATCGCGTGTCGAAGTAGAACCCTAGTAGGTCCCGGGACGAGTTCTCTCTGGGAGGAAGACGTTGGACCGTTCGGTTTTCTGGGACGAGAAAAACGACCGCGATTCGATCGGATTCCAGTCGCCGGCGAGGCGTCCCGTGTTTCCCGGCCGCGACCACGGCCGTGCCGTCGCGAGTTCTCGAGAGGCTTCGGAAGTAGGTCTGGCACGTTTCCACCCCGTATTAACCCAATTCCATCGAGCACCCTCGAAGCAGGGAGAGGAGAATGCGCGCGCCCTCCGTGATCGCCGCCCCCGCGAGCACCCCTGCGAACGCACCGGCGAAACGACCCCCTCCAAACGGTCCTTCACCCCCACGTACTCTAAATACTCCCACGTTAACGCTTTAACCTATCATTTTTTCAACAGATGCGTCACTCGAATATGAAGTCACTCCTTGATGACTGCGTGTAGGGAAGTCCCAAGCTCCTACATTTCTGTATTGGTGTGGTTCCAGATTACTGAATGAGTAATTCCTCACATTCTGAAATAGTAGATTCATCGTACTGAGATACTTTATACAAATCGTAAAGTTCCTGGATACTCGAATTTTGAAATTTTTAAAGGAACAAAAGTTTAGATTTTAGAGTATTAAAATTTACTAGATGATCAAATTGAAAATTCCCTAGATCACCAAATTTGTAAATTTGTTTCGAAGGGTTTCGAAGTCCGTAGACCCCAAACTGTTAGGTTCTCATGTGTCGAAATGTTTAGATTATCAAATCTAAAATTCCCTAGATTTACTAATTCCAAAATAGTTACATCACAAAATTCCAAACTTCCTAGATTCCAAAATTTTGAAATTTCTGGATTCCTACATTTCTAAATAGTAAATTTCGAAATCCCTAAATTCAAATATCCCTAGATCCCTAAATTCAAATATCCCTAGATCCCTAAATTTGTATTTCTTAATTACCAAATCCTACATTCCCTAGATTCCAAAATTTCGAAGTTTCTAGATTACTAAATTGATAAATTGAAATTTTCCGAAATCCAAAAATCCCTAGATTCCTGAATTTCGAAATCTCTAGATCTTCAAACGCAAAAATTCCCTAGATTCAAAAATTTCTAGATTACTAAATTTCTGAATAGTAAAATTTCGAAATAAGAAAATCCCTAGATTCCTCGATTTATAAATCCCAAAATCACGAAATTCAAAAATTCCCTAGATTCCATAATTTCGAAATTTCTAGATCAATAGATTTCTAAATTGTAAAGTTCAGAAATTCCTAAATCCAAAAGTCCCTAGAACCCAAATTTCGAAATCCCTAGATCACCAAACCCCAAATCCCCTAGATTTCCAAATTCCGAAATCCCTAAATTACCAAATCCCTAAATTGCCAAATTCTCAATTCCCCAGATCCAAAAATCCCTAGATCCCAAATTCCCCAAATCCCTATCTCACCAAATCCCTATATTTCCCTATTTCGAAATCCCCAAATTACCTAATCCCTAAATTGCCAAATTCCTAATTCCCTAGATCCAAAAATCCCTAGATTCGAAATTCCCCAAATCCCTAAACCCCAGATTCCCAAATCCCCTAGATTTCCCTGTTTTGAAATCCCCTAATTACCAAATCCCTAAATTGCCGAGTTTCCAATTCCCCAGATCCAAAAATCCCTAGATTCGAAATTCCCCAAATCCCTAAATCCCCAGATTCCCAAATCCCCTAGATTTCCCTGTTTTGAAATCCCCTAATTACCAAATCCCTAAATTGCCAAGTTCCCAATTCCCAAGATCCAAAAATCCCTAGATCCCAAATTCCCCAAATCCCTATCTCACCAAATCCCTAAATTGTCAAGATTTGAAATCCCCAAAATTCCAAATCTCTAACTTCCTAGATTCCTAAATTGTAAAATCCCTAAATTTCCCCAAAATATGCCATATAACATACAATTATGTTTCCCATATAACTCCTCGTACGCAAAAGAGCACAGAAAAAAGTAATTAAAATATGCTTATTCAAAATTATATTAAACGAACGAGTGTGAATCACCTTTGGAATGCACATGTTTAATATATCACATTTTCTAGATAACACAGTTATAAATTTTAATACTGGCCAACCTTAACCGTAAATTATGTTTACATATTAAAAAATACCTCTGAGTGCGTCATAAGAGCCTGCTCGCAATTTCACTATGCAGATTATTTCTGAATCAAAATATGCCACAAACGCGGAGTACGTAACGTTCTGAAGGTTTTATTAAAAAGATCGGTGCTTGGAATAATGGCCTGGAAAATAATTCATTCGGAATGTCTTTCGTGATCTACAAACACAATTTGTCGAATATTTTATGTGGATGTTTTTAAAAAGTTTGAAACAATTTTTAATTATGAGGAAGTTAATATGTAGTGTGATATGGTACACAAAATTAAACGTTGACTTTTAATCCTTGAATAAAATCCTTGACTGAATTCATCGACGTTGCAAATGAATTTCCTGCAATTTTTTAAAAGGAGTGAAATATTTTTCTGAAATCCATCAAGTACACAAGTGCTTGTAACACGACTTTTTCAGTTTTGACGCCTATTAAATACAAATGTCAACGCAAAGATGTTAAAAATGCTGCAACAGTGTCAAGACTTAATTTGTTACTTTCATTAATATTTGCATACTTCTAAGAAATTCTGAAACTATTTTATTACCAAAGGTATTATTTATTTTATATTTGAATCTGGGGTCGAAGTCGTGAATGAAAAAGTTTAAGCGTCCACCTAAAGAAATAACCCTATTCATATTTGTCAGTTTTCTCGATACTTTCAAAAGATATTCAAAGTCCGAAGGAGAGCAAACCCGGTGAGTAATTCCGTCTTCCCGTTTCCGTTTCAGAAGTCAAAATGGAGTTGGAGGACCTGATGTCCGACATCAAGAAGACGGCCAACAAAGTCAGAGCCAAGTTGAAGGGTAAGTCTCACCGCCCCTCGTCGAAAGAGTCGAATTCTGACACCGTTTCCGCTGTTCAGTGATCGAGCAAAATATCGAGCAGGAAGAGCACACGAACAAATCGTCGGCGGATTTGAGGATACGCAAGACGCAGCACTCGACGCTTTCCAGGAAGTTCGTCGAGGTGATGACGGAATACAATCGGACGCAAACCGATTACAGAGAGCGGTGTAAGGGGAGGATACAGCGGCAGCTGGAAATCAGTGAGTCCGAAACGATTTCCTCTACGATACGAGTACGATTTCGTGTTCCTAACCGATCCGAATTGTAGCCGGTAGAACGACCACCAACGAGGAACTGGAAGAAATGCTGGAACAAGGAAATCCGGCCGTGTTCACGCAAGGGGTAAGCTTCTCGTTCGTAAATCGCGATACAAATTTTTCAACGGAGACTTTATCGTAGATCATCATGGAAACGCAACAAGCGAAACAGACCCTCGCCGATATCGAGGCGCGCCACGCCGATATCATCAAATTAGAAAACTCGATTAGGGAACTACACGACATGTTCATGGACATGGCGATGTTGGTAGAAAATCAGGTAAGAACAAGTACTCGTAAGGTACCAAGTAGAACAAGAGGCTAGACAAGGTCCTACAAAGAGACAGAGTGTAGAAGTATATATAAAAAATATATACACAGTATGCAAAAAAGAATATATATTTACACATAACATATTCATCAGTAATTTATTTTAATAAATATTCTGTCATATCTCTAACACATTCATCTTGTGATACATAGTTTTTTATTTTCTTATAAGTTATGTGTAATAGTCATTAAAATTGATAAAAATACCTTAGAAGACAATATTATATAATATGTTCAAATTAGATAATATATTCTTTAATTTAAAATTGATAAAAATACCTAAAAGGACAATATTATATAATATATTCAAATTAGATAATATATTCTTTAATTTAAAATTGATAAAAATACATAAAAAGACAATATTATATAATATATTCAAATTAGATAATATATTCTTTAATTTAAAAATGATAAAAAAACCTTAGAAGACAATATTATATAATATATTCAAATTAGATAATATGTTCTTTAATTTAAAATTGATAAAAATACCTAAAAAGACAATATTATATAATATATTCAAATTAGATAATGTATTCTTTAATTTAAAATTGATAAAGATACCTAAAAAGACAATATTATATATTATATTCAAATTAGATAATGTATTCTTTAATTTAAAATTGATAAAAATACCTCAAAAGACAATATTATATAATATATTTAAATTAGATAGTATATTCTTTAATTTAAAATTGATAATCATTAAAATTGATAAAAAGACAATATTATATAATATATTCAATTAGATAATATATTCTGTAATTTAAATATATTTAAAGCTATTAAAGATTGACATGAAAGTTTGTTCAATTTGAATTTCCCGCTCTTTTGTACAATTTAAAAAGACAGCATTTTTGAGACATCTAAGGACCGTCATCTCTGGTTTACTCTGTAGTACCGAGTACTAAAAGTATATTTTTGCTCCTTGTATTATTTTAAAAGTTTGTAATAAACTAATTATATTTTTTGATATCCAGGGTGAGATGATAGATCGCATAGAGTACCACGTGGAACACGCGGTGGACTACGTGCAGACGGCTACGCAGGACACCAAAAAAGCGCTCAAGTATCAAAGCAAAGCCCGACGGGTGAGTCCTCGCCAGATTTCACGGGAAATCATCGATTTTTCGTCCGCGTCTAATTGGTCACTTTTTGTTTCTCTCCCTCCCGTCCCGACCGTTCCTTTTGTTCCTTTCTTTCGCGCCACCCCTTTACGCTTTTTCGACCCGCTTTTCTTTTCTAACCATCCGTGTGCTTACCATTTACTACGATCGCTACTACCGCTATTTACTACCGCTACATCTTTGCTGTTACCGGGTTTTCGCGTTTACCGAATAACGACGGCGCTTTCTTCCGTTCTGCGGTCGAAATCGATGCGCGTATCGTACACGTACCTATGTATCACGCGTTCCTTGTCCCTTTTGTATTTCTGTGTCTCTACGAGCGTGTACATACGCGCGTTCTTACACGTTTATCTGTTTCGTATACGCCTATGTATGCTGTGTGTATACATGCATCAATCGTATGTGTGTCTCTCTACTTGTGCCGCTCTGTCCTCCTACTACTAACAATCCGAGTGTGCTAATTGTGCCTCTGTCCATGAACTGTTTTGTCTCTATGTACTACTACTACTGAAAAAACAAACGACGAACAAACTCTGCGTGACTAACCAGTAACTTGCGCTCTTTAACTGGTCGTATCGGCTCTTAGGCTGCGTTTATACTGAACGAACATACTGTTATGAGAAACCCTTATCTTTATACTTAATACTGCATACAGAAAGAAAAAAGTTGTACTCAAACACTTATTAATCTCAAACAGCATTTATTTTGTACTTATTGTAAAAAGAATGCAGTTATACTTTATGTAAATAGAGAAATTTATTTTATGTACAGGGTAGAAATTTGTATTTGTTAAGTGTAAAAGTTGTGTTGCATAAATGTAATAGGATGTTAGTATTTGTTACATGTAACAGGGTAGAAAGATGTTCATTCATATTTATTGAATACAGAATGTGTTTGTTTATATTAAATGTTAAACAGAAAAATATTTTTTATAGTAAATGTTGAAGCAGAGAAAGATATTCATATTTGTTGAATACAGAATAGAAAGGTTTGTTTATGTTAAATGGTAGAGAACAGAAAAATATTTGTTTATACTAAATGTTAAAGAATAGGAAGATATTCATTTGTTAAATACAGAGTAGAAAAGTATTTATTTATATTAAATGTTTAACAGAAAAATATTTGTTTATATTAAATGTCAAAGAACAGAAAAATTCATTCACATTTGTTGAATAAAGAATAGAAAGGTTTATATATAATATTAAAAAGAAAAATATTTGTTTATACCAAATGTTAAAGAACAGAAAAATATTCACTTGTTAAATACAGAGTAGAAAAATATTTATTTATATTAAATGTTGAACAGAAAAATATTTGTTTATATTAAATGTTAAACAGAAAAATATTTGTTTATACTAAATGTCAAAGAACAGAAAAATTCATTCACATTTGTTGAATAAAGAATAGAAAGGTTTATATATAATATTAAAAAGAAAAATATTTGTTTATACCAAATGTTAAAGAACAGAAAAATATTCACTTGTTAAATACAGAGTAGAAAAATATTTATTTATATTAAATGTTGAACAGAAAAATATTTGTTTATATTAAATGTTAAACAGAAAAATATTTGTTTATACTAAATGTCAAAGAACAGAAAAATTCATTCACATTTGTTGAATAAAGAATAGAAAGGTTTATATATAATATTAAAAAGAAAAATATTTGTTTATACCAAATGTTAAAGAACAGAAAAATATTCACTTGTTAATTACAGAACAGAAAAGTATTTACATTAAATATTAAACAGAAAAATATTAGTTTATATTAAAAGTTAAACAGAAAAATTTGTTAAATACAGAAAAGTATTTATTTATATTAAATAAATAAAAAAATTAATTTACTAAATATGTAATAGTAAACCACTTGTAAAATATAAAATCAGAAACACGTTCACGTTACACGTGAAAAAACCAGAAAATTTCACAAAGGTAGAATAGTTCGTTTATTGTGAACGCAGCCTTACTCGACGAATATATACGTCCTCGTACGAGGCGATAACCGCGACGCCGGCGATGGACGCGGTATGGTGTATAGTGGCTCCCCACTTGATGTCACTCGGAGGCCGAATACTACCTCTATGAATTAAATAACGAAGAACATATAGCGTCGATGGAACACTATGTGACATCAAGTGCGAAGTCAGGTATGGTGGCTTAATCTGGACCTTGAGTGCGCGTGCGATTAACTCTGGGGCTGATCCTTGAAGGCGATCCACCGGTTACCGTCGTGTCCTGCCCAGCCTATTCCTTCCATCCCACTCTCCCGAATCCTACATCTCAGCTGGGTGAATTGGTGGACCGCATCGAATACGTCGACATCCACGTGGGCCAAGCCCGGGGCGAGCTGATCAAGGCCGAGGAGTATCGGAACGAGGCTCGGAAGGTAAACGAATCGGATTCAACGAACGTTCGATCGCCGCCGGATCGCTTTTATCTATCCTTTCGCTCCTCGCGTTCGTCGCTTTTCAACCGGGTCATTCTTTATAACGGCGAACGAATTTACACCGCTTTGCATCGTCGAGGATGATTCCTCAAACGAAAGCTGAATTATGACCAGCTCACCGATTCAGTTACGCATGTATCCACCAGTAGGCTGACACTTATCCTTAGTCTATTAACGAATCTTGCCGTTTGAAATTTTGTGCATCCTCAAAATATTAACAAGTAGGGTGTGTAATCTTTCAAGCACAGTAAAAAAATTATTGTTAATAGAATACCTCTTTATTTTAGTTTGTTTTTATTTTTCCTTAGGCTACTGGCTAATCTGAAAAAAAAATGTTAATCATCCGCGACGATCGTTCCAAGCGAACACGTGTAAATTCGATTTAAAAAAAGTGAAGTGCTTCTACTTTCCACGATGTCCTAGTTCGACTCGGTTACTTTCGTTGGTAATTAGTTTGTGCATGGAATCCTGCTAATTAGTTGATATCCTTCGCGATAATTCAAGATGGCGCCGCGTGAACGACCTCGTAATCGCGTAGTTTTGTTCGCTTCGCTTTCGACCGATCTTGTTATCCGACGTCGGTTGCATGCACGTGACGTCATAGGCCACGTGATCGTAGACCGCTCGTTTGCAAATTCAAGATCCTTGTTCGCGAACGGCCCCAGTTAACCTAACCCGATTAGGTACGTAGGCTTTTAGGAAAAAATAGTCACGTAGAAAATTCTTCCTTTCCCTAATTTTCGTACTTCTATTTTTCTAAATGTATTTATCAATTTTCTGATTCTGAGTTTCATATTTCCCGCTTTGCAAATTTTGTAGAATCTCTAGATCCTGGATTTGTGGGATTGGTGAAAGTTCTTGGGTCCTCAAGTTTGTAAATTCCTAAATTTTTAGATAGTGTGATCCCTAGGTCCATGAAGTACTAAACCCCAAAATTTCTGGACACTCAAGTTCCCAGATCTTCATATTCCTACTCTAATCTCCAAATCTTTCAAATTCTCTATCCCCAAATTTGTACACTATGTAATCCCTAGGCTGCCAAGTTCCTAGATCCCCAAATTCCTAGACCCCCTAATCCCTAGATCTCCAAATTTCTAGATTCCCAAATTTCTAGATCCCCAAATTCCTAGATCCCCTAATCCCTAGATCTCCAAATCCCTAGATTTCCAAATTTCTAGATTCTCAAATTTCTAGATTCCCAAATTCCTAGATCCCCAAATTCCTAGATCCCCAAATTCCTAGATCCCCAAATTCCTAGATTCCCAAATTCCTAGACCCCTTAATCCCTAGATCCCCAAATCCCTAGCCCCCCAAATTTCCAAATCCTTAAATTTCCCTATCTCCAAAACCCTATACCTGTTTTTCAAATTTTTCCTAAATTTTCAAATCCCCAAAATCCCTAAAATTCATAGCCTATATCTTCTCCCAAAGCACATGTAAAAATTCACTAAATGTACGCACACACAACACGCACAAAAGCTCTTCGTCCGCCATGCTTTTCTATCACCTCACTTTTTTCTTTCCACCTGTTTTGGCTGTCCGGTTATTCGTTTGCCTGCTAAACTCGCTTGCCTGCTTGCCTGTTTCTCGTTCTTCCTCGGTGTGTCGCAACACGGTCGGATTCGTTGTTCGCTTTCTACGCCGAATCACGAAGACTTCCTCGGCCGATTTCTCCGCGACTCGACGGTTCCGTAGTGCCGGCAGCTACCGACGGACATCTCACACGACTCGTATCTGTTTTTTCTGTCCACAGAAAATGATCTTCATCATAATCTGCGTGTTAATATTGGCCGTGATATTAATCTCCATAATAATTGCATGCGTACCGAGGAGCTAAAGGTTCGTTGAGAGAGTCGGCGCGGGAAGGGAAAGGACGGGAAAGGAAGGGATGGGAAGGGAACGGATAGGAAGGAACGGGGTTAGGAAAGACGGGTCGCTAGAAGACGTTGCGCGCGCGATGCTCGATCGAGCGACCACGATGCGAGGAAAATGGCAGGACAAGAAAGAAGACGCGCAAGAGGAGGGTAGGATATGGGGAGAAGAAAAGAAGAATGGTGTAAAGACGATCGACTCATGGTGTCGGAAATTGCCGAACGCGCGCGCCTCCTTCCTGGCAAACGCGGAACCAGCTTCGCCCAACCTCCTCGAGCTCCGCTCTATCCCGGCTCTAATCTGTGACTAACTTCGAGGAAGCAGCTACGCTTACTTGCTCGTTAACGCAATAACCGAATAACAACCGTGCACGTTCCACTAACGACCAGCGTGGATCGATTCCTCCTCGAGTCAGTGGATATCGAGATCGCTATGACGCGTCGCGCAACGAGCTCCTTCCATCCTCCGCGAAATCGACTCCGTGCTTCGACGTTTCGTGTTTACCTTTTTGGGAGTCCGATTTCGCGAGCTTTAGAGAATTACCGAGCGTGCGACCGCAATACCGTGTGTTTTGTTCACAGAAATTGATGTTCATCGTTATTTGCCTGACGATAGCGCTCATCATTTTAATAACCATTCTGGTATACGCGTTGTAAGAGAGAAGCACACGAGGATTCCAGGGAGAGTCACGCGAGAATCGCGCCTTCTCTTCGCCAGCGCGAACCAATCGGTTCCCTTTGCGTAAAGCGACCGGACTTTAGCCGACGAACTATCACCGAGCGACCTTCACTGCCTTTTTGTTCTCGTAATTTTCGGCTTTCCGCGACATGTAACGCTGCTATCGAACGACACTATTAAACGCTTCCAGCCTTGCGATTCGCACAAAGTCCCTTAGAAATCCCCCCTTTTCTAATGCCCGAATATGTCATCGCCAGAGGTGTCACCGAGACGTACGAGCTCGTTTTGCCGACAATATTTTCAAGCTAGCGTTTAAGACTCAATTTATGAATTATTAGAAACAGAAAATCTCTATGGAACGTTCTGGAACCGCAAAAGGATCCCGCGCTGCAGGACTGCGCATGCGCGGCGCAACCTCGCTGAAACAATATATGTATAAATATGTATATAGATAAAAAAGTGTACTTTGATCGTCCAGGCGTAATTTTAATCAGATGACGGAACTTTAGCAAAATTATAGAAGGTAGATCAAAATATACTTTTGTCTGTACATTTGCTTCGCTGACTCCATGTTCGCCGCGCATGCGCAGAACGCGTGAACCGGTTCTTGCACGGGGGTTGGAAGTCTTTAATAGTATCGTCGGTACGAATCGAGTGCGAAACTCGTAGAACAGTGACGGGAGGACATGAAAGATCGCTCGTTTCCGAACGAGGAGGGAGAAGCGTTTCCCTTCGTTGTTTGCGAACGACTCGACGATGCGATTCGATCGATTACGAATCTCGATCGTCGATTCGACGACGATGCGTACGGACAGAGTGTTCGTCGAGGCAGGTCGAGCGGCAGACGCAGAGAGGCACCCAAAGAACTGCGATTTAGAAAAAGGATTCGAGCGGAAAGAGTGGTAACGAAGAGAGACAGGAAGCGCGGTTCAAGGTAGCGACGGAAGGATCGTAGATACGGTAGGGACAAACTATCTAGGGAACCTTTGTAATCGATCATTGTATTTTTGCCGATCCATACCGAGCGCAGAAGAAGATCATGATCATGATCTGTCTCGCTATACTCGCCGTTGTTGTGGCCACCACCATCGGTGGATACTTTGGACTGTGAACGCCGCAATCGGGTACGTCTTTCACACTTTTTCCCAGTAATGGGCCGCACTTCTGAAAACCAGTTGTATGTTTGGTCAAAAATTAAACACCTCTTTTTGCAGAACGTTTTAATTGAACGACAGGTTTATCTTGCTGACGTATACAGGGAATCCTACGTCGGTAAAGTAGGGAATGATATCAAGGTCAATCGGTAAAAATGTACAGTTTAAAAAATTATATGAATTTATTAGAAAAAACAGTGGGCTCGATACGAGCTTATTACAACAAATTACATTTTTGACAACTTATCATATACTGAAAAATAAGAACATACAAGTATGTAACTTTTTTATTATTTATAACGCTTGAGTCCATCTGGGACCCATAGAAAAAATGTCTATACAATTATATAATTATTTTTAATTCATTGAAAAGTTCTACAAGTGTGTGTTAATATCTTGAACTCAAAGCTCATTGGCCAAATTAAATTTTACTGCATAATAAATAAATTAGTAACTTACTAATCTAGATTTGTTAATATACAAAATTTATAGTAAAGTCTAATAGGACTATATAGACTACATAGAACTATACAACTGTATAGACTATATAAACTATATAGACTGTATAGAAATTACATAGAAATGCAAGTAAAGTCTAAGCAGGTTTTTGGAAGTGCAGCCCTCTGTCGTTAAAGAAGTTGAATCGAAACGATTGGTTTTCCTTTTTGTGTTCCTTTCTTTCCAGAAAAATCCACACGCGTCGCCGTGGTGTACGTAAACGCGAACCGTCGGCAGCACCTGTATCCAGGCGAATCGGCCCTAAACGTTGGACGCGGCGCCCTGTTCGAGTCGAACGATCAGCGTTCCGATCGTGGCAGCATCGACGCCATCTTGGTCGAAAGCAGTAGCGGCACCTCGCTCGCTCGGTCCGTCAGCCGGTCGTCTCGACTTCGACCTCGTACGCGGCCTCGTCGACGGGCCTTTCGTCCTAGCACGCCATTCCTCGTTCCACGGATCGCCGTCGAATTCCTCCTTTCGTCGCGCGTACTGCCCATCCGCTATCGCGATACCGAGAAATATCAGGAGCCGAAACGGCCGTACAAGGAGCACGGTCCACGGCTACGTCAACGACGCGAAGAACGAAGAATCGCCGTCGTCGTCGTCGTCGTAGTTGGAGAAAATTGCCACCCCTTCGTTCAGCTCCGTCGAGCGAAACCGCTAGTCTCCTCGTTTTTTCCCCGAGACGATCCCCGCCCTCGTAGATGGATTCCTTTTCGATTCTCGGTAGGAAGCTAGAAACTCCGAGTCGCACGAGCGGCGACATTACCGAACGATCCAACAGCGATTAGCGTAGCCGACGATCGAGGCAACGAGGATCGGCCGGTAGGAAAATCGAGCCTAAAACCCAATGGAGTTGTCCTGTAACGCGAGACCATCGAGCAATCCCGTCGCGGTATCTTCGGTGGTCGCGGTGTCGTATTACCAAACACCTAGCAAAGTGCATTCTTTTGACTGTGATTCTTAACCGAGCTTGGAAATTAGTTCTTTACAGACGACGAATAGTTTCGAAGAACGGTCGCGGTAGTAATTTCGACGCGCACGATGCGTGTATCACGCACACGATCGCTACGCTACATATCACGATTCTACTTATGGCGTAGATGGCCCCTCTCTCTCTTTCTGAATTCCCTACCGTAACCGTTCCGGATCGGAGACGAAGCGTGAGGACCGGGCAGACTCGATTTTTACCGTAGAAGCGTGGACGCGTCGATCCGGAACGGTAACGACGGAGCGCGATTTACCGACGCGGCGAGGCGTTGACGGAGAGCGAAAAGGACGAATTTCCAAGCCGCGACGTTAGATGCGTAACATCGACGGAAATAATTGTCGCTTTCGACGGTGCCATCGGCCGTCGCTCCATCGACGTCTTTGAACGTTACACGAAACGCCATTAGGCTTTGGGCGTGGTAGGAAAACTGTACGCAAGTACCTTGTGAGAATCGCGAAGAAAATTTGTGGAAGAGTTTCGGTTTTTTTCAGTTCAGCGCGTGGGTAACGCATTCGTTGTCGCGTAAATGATCCGTCGACGACGACGACGAGGGCACGCGCGCGCGGTTCACCGAACGATAGACAATTTTCGTTGGTTATGGCAGTTCTAGCGAAATAATTCGTCCAGAGTCGGAAAGATGCGTCGAAAGCGACTGGAACACGGGGCGCGGATGAAGATCAGCTAGCGAAAGAAGGAGGAGCAACGGGACGTACCGATGATAAGAACACACGCGGACAAGGAGAGAAGAGGAGATCTATAAAGCTGCAGCAATAATATATAATATAGGTGTTACGGGAGAATAATTAACGCTAATACAATCGTCGACGATAAAGTCTGGATCGTACCGAATATATCGTATGTACGCGAGAAACGTATACATATTTAATGCTATATGTACGTACGCGTGTACACGTATGTACGCATGTACGCGCACGCGCGTACGCCGTGAGTCGCGTATACGTACATACGCGCGTACGCTACGATATACGCGCGTAAGCGGAGAGTGTACCGCTTGTTCGCGCATGCGCGCGTTACGGCATGCGCACGCGCGCGTCACGGTATGCGCATGCGCGCACCTATGTTCACGCAGAGACATATTACATGTATATACAAATAGTTAGTCGGCACAGTCGAAGAGTAATATATTAACGATAATAATTTATTATTCGCGGCGCCTGTTGCTCGTTGATTATCGCAGCGGATATTTTCGAGCAGGGTACGGGCGGCGTTCGTGTTAATGTTTTGTTGATTATATTATATGAACGTTGAGGTACGTTACATTTAAAAGATTATGGGTTAACGTTTCAGAATGATATAAAAAAGAGTAAGAACGGTTGCGCTACACACAAGCCACGTCGTGCGCTCCAACGACGATGCTGTACGCCATCGGGCGACGGTACGAATGGAAAAATGGAAAGAGAGGTTGACCGGCGAAGGTGTGAGAACGACGGTGACGGTAATGATGATAAAGTTGGGGATGGTTTAAAAGGATAATTAACGATACTTAAAATCACTTTGCATTGTACAGAAGCATACTGATTGTTAGTTTAGATAGCTACGTTGCCACGATCTATTACTTAATCGTTGAGAGTGCGTCGAGATTGCGCGTAAAATCCCTCTGTGACGAGTCGTAACCGTCGTCGAAGAGCCGAGGCAATTCGTATTCGTCGTTGCGCTTCGGGTTTGCGTTCGAGCGTCGATTGGAGCCGAGAGGAATACGGCGAGGATCGCGGCGTCCCGAGGAGGATTTTCGAGAGAGAGAAAGAAAGAGGAAGAAAAGTATGTGATTGTCCTTGGATCGACGCGTTCCTCAAACGTTCCTTCCGATCGAACGCCATCTTTCTCTTTCTCTTTCTCTCGGTGTTCTCGGTTACAAAAACCTTTCTATAGGCCCTAATGCAACTCGCGTTTCTATTCGACGTATCGTTCTGCCGTATCGCAGGACGACTTTTCTAACCTCCGCTCCGTAAACATCGATCTACCGTCTAGCCTGTCTTTTCATTCTCGTAGCTTTAAAAACCGTACGTTCGTTAGTGTTTTTCTCTGAATGCGTGCGCGCTCGTGTGTAGCGATTCTCGCGATAGGAATTGAAGAATCAAACTTAATTTCGTACCATCGAATTTCCCGGCGCACGATTTTTCATCGAACATGTAATCGGTTCGCGGCGCGAGATCATCGACGCTGCTGTGCGCGCGTTCTACGCATTTTGGCCTAAATAATGGAACAAGGCTTTCTCCGTCAAATATATACGCTATCTATGGCTTCGTTGATTTCCTTTCGTTGAACGAGCGGCGAGCACTGATCTTGCTTCGCGCTCGCTTCTCGCGCGTCTCTCTGTCTGCCTATCGAGTTTCCCCTCTACATCTTTTCTTTGTCGTCAACGACAGAGGACCAGTCGCGAGGGAAACGGACAGTCGAGACGGACAGACGCGGTCGGGCGAAGAATAGAACGAGAGAACCAGGAACCGAAGCAGAGGGAACGCTTTAATGAAAACGTTGAAACGCGACGAGGCATCGAGAATATTGGTCGTGTCGCGCATCGGTGCAATTATTACACTTCGAGAGACTATTTCAATAACCTTATGAGTGTCAATTCCACTTTCGAGCGTAAATCGTAAGTTTGCGAATGTTTTGAGACAAAAGAACAAACGAACAAAAAATAAAGAACGATCGAGATGGGGAGTCAGTGTTAAAGAAAAAAAAGTAAAAGTAAAAAAAAAATCGTATCGATAAGAGAATAGTTGCGCGGTCGCGTCTCTTGACCGGCACGCGACAAAGTGAGATTACTATAATAAAATTTACATTATCGAGAAACAAATTAGGGAATGAGAGAGCGGGAGAGAAAGAGCGAGAAAGCGAGTGAACGTGCGAGTGAATGAGAGGAGAGGGAATAAAGGGGAGGAAAAAACAGTCGAGAATGAGACGCGTGACTGGGTGTATGGCTGCGAGAGAGGAAGCGAGCACGAGAGAAGCTTTTTTTTTTCTTGTACGCGAGGGAAATCTTCCAAAGATGCCCCGCGCATTGGAGGCCCTCGAACAACTGGGGCGAGCGAAATATAAGGCAGCAAAACTTTAGCACGTTCAAAGAAAAGTACGAGAATACTTTTTATCGTAGAATACATCATATAGGGAAAAATTCGTAAAATAAAACTAGCAAAAAAAAGACAGAGATCTGTATTAACGGTGACTTATTAAATAAAATCAACGGTGTTTTTTCTGCCTATCAGTTGTACGCGAATTTTCGTTTCTCTCTCTCTCTCTCTGTATATGTTTCTCTTTCTCTTTCTCTCTGTCTCTCTCTCTCTTGAAAACGATAGATCGTTATTTCGTTTCCGTCTTTAATACGATATATCACTGTTATTATCATTATATTATTAATCGATACTGTACAAAGTTGGCAATAATCTTAAGAATCCTCCACCGTCGTAACGTTTAGCCTCCTCGAGTAACGCGAGGGCGAAATCGTCGCCAAGGAAATGCACAAAGCGGGAAAAGTAGCGAAGGGAGCGAAAAGTAACGAAGACGGCCGAGCGCGGCCGAGAGTCGACGAAGGCTTCCGAACGCGAAGTATAGAACCGTTGGAGATTCGTCGTTTTCGGTCTCGCGAACCGATTTCCCCTCGCGTTGTCAAATCACCTTTTGATCCACCGTTCTATTACTAAAGCGAAAACGAAGCCAAGCGTTTGCTGTACAATTCTATTCTTTTACGTTAACGACTTACTATTGAGTAGACGAGTAGTATATTTTACATTAACGAAATATCGTAGCGTTACCTGTCTTACCTTAATTTTATATATCATCGAAGATACGTATTCGCAGGAATAACGATTATAGTCAGCAGCACTACGAGTCAAGTTACTATACGTTTGTAGATAACAAAGGTCCGCAAAGAGATTTTAAAAACCGACACGATGTTCAATGTATTTAACGATCTTCTCTCGAAAGATGAACAATATACAATATGTAACGGGAGTACATCGGACGTTCATTCGTTTCGCCCTTCTTGAGACGGACAGATACGGAAGACCATCGTTTCAGCGCATCGTTTTATTCAACCTCGTTAGAAACGGTTCCAAGCAAGATACAGTAAATAAATAATGAAGTAATGCGATATGTACACGCAGAGGTGTGTATATATGTTGGCGAGGTTAAACGTCGATCGCGTTCGGGCATAAGGTCGTGTCGTTCAAGTCGGACACTGTTCTGGCTCTGTACAACAGACCCTCTTCAAAATCACCGTCTTTGGAGATGTTCTCTGGTCCTTGAAGGGCGTGTCCGCGTATGAACTCGATCACCAGTGAAGGATCTACGCGTGACATCGTCAGTCTGCATCCCCAGGAGACCACGGCTAATGGCTGAGGAGGAGTCACGTGATTAGGCGGTTCTTTCAAAGGTTTTGAAGCTGAATTCACACCTTTTGGATGATAAGAGTACTTGGTAATAAGTTGTACTTGGTAACAAAGCACTTGATAACAAGTTATACTCAGCAACAAATTACTTGGTAATTCTAAAATCCACATTTGGTTCTCCACAAATTTTCTCCACCTACACTCAGTTCACACGACCATTCAACAGATGTAAATTCAGCTTTACCGATAGTCGGACATTTATCTTACACGCTGTTCACTCAACGCATTACTAGGAGTAATAATATGTCGTCGCAAGCAGCCGGTGACCAGATTTTTCAGGCGTTTCACCTCCAACGGATTGGCACACGGATGATACAACGCCACGATGGCTCCATGCTAGATAAATATAATACAACATTATTTAAGCACAACTAAGAGATTCCAAGTATTCCAATTACCTCCAGGCTGTGCAGCCATCGTTGTTTGGGCAAAAATTTGTACTCTCCATAGACTGGCCATAAAGGTCTGTGCGCTCCGCTGAGGACGCATAGTCGTTACAAAGTATTTGTGGTCGTTTTTTTGTTAGTGAAATGGATACTTACTATAGTGGCACGTCGTCGTCGTACTCTATCTTCTCGTACATGCATTTGTGCATCGCCTGTAACATTGCATTCGCGTTATATACTGTTTAGGGATGCACAGGATGAAGAGGAGAGCAAGAGACTTACGACGTAATACTTTGGTATGTGTAAGCAGTATTTGAATGCCAGGGTTTCTCTGTCTGGTACTATTTTCTTGTCGTAACAGGTGTGGTTGATGGGACTTCCATCCCAATCTAATGTCAAGTTTGTCTGAAAGAGAAGAACAATTATTATTTTATATTTAATAATATATTTGAAGGTTTAACCCCTCACTCTACAATATGTTATGACGCACATTCAGATGTATCTAGACTTGTATTTTCACTGCAATTGAATTGTGTTCAATTTGATTGTAGTCTGCAGTGAGTCTTGATGTTAACAAATGATATAATTGTTCAGAAAATTGTAGATTACAGGGTTAAGTGATCTTTTCTATAAAATCAACAGACCTTGGCATCATCACAGGTAGCAGAGGGTTGTCCCATTGGAATTCCATGAAGGGAATGTACCGATAAGTCTCCTCGTTCATTTTCTGGAAATATTTTAGGCGGAGGAAGTGGATCATCTGGTCTGTCAGGCATCCATCGACCTTTCCAGTTCTCCAGTTCATCGTCCTTGACGTTTCTACGATACTCTCCGTTCGCATCCTCCTCTCCGTATCCGTAAATGTATTTCCTGAGTGTGTACAGTGGATTGAAGCCGCCGTTTCCTGGACTCTCTACAAACAGCAATTATGTCTTACATGATAGAACTGTGTTAGATCAACTGACAAATATTTGAGACGTCAAACCGTGGATTTATAGGTTAGAAAATAGGAACGCGTCACCGGATGACACCTCGCTTGCAGTACTTGACAGTTCTGAATAGACGTGATATTTGATGGAATTCGATTAGTCACCTTGCTCGTATTCCTCGTCGTCGTCGTTGTACGTGACAGCTTCGGCAAGAAAACTAAACACAAACAACAAGAAAATCACTTCGAATTTCATGTTTACTCGTCCTATACAAGCAAATATGCCTTCTCTAGGGAAAATGGTGGCAAAAGGGAATCCCCTCCATGTCTATGGGTTCGTCATCCTAATAGAGGAAAACATAGACGTACACTATATTAAATTCACAGGAGGCGTTTAAAAAATCGATGAACAATAGAACTGTATGAAACTTACGTCTGAAGGAGAGATATCTCATTGCACACTTTACGTTTCGAAACGCTGATTTTAGAATTCACAATAAAATGTATTCAGTCATAAATGCAAATTAATGTTCAAATTCGTATTCTTAATTAAAGTATAATATTAATTTAAAGCATATAATATATATAAAAGACAGTAGTGTACTATAAAGTAATTAATTTAAAGTCCCAAAGTATTTTGACAGCTTCATTCATACATACATTTCAAAATTTGTATTTACGCGCGCTTTTTCGAAATGGTACGTATACCTGTCAAATATGGATATACAGAAATAATAAATTGGCGTTTTCTACGAAAATAAAGCATTTCTAAGACTCACCCATGATAGTAAATCGTTCTGCAAGCATGATAACGTAAGAAAATAGGCTTTGTAGTAAGCTGGAAGCTTTATATTAGAGAATAAAGAAATATGGCATTTCATGGACCACAAAAATGGCGTCCATCTAGCGGCGAAAGTTGGAACTACGAAAGTAGGAAATCCTGATTTTCTCGAAAACTAGGCACTTTTCCGAAATTCCAAAATATACAAATTGTTCCTTGTTTTCTACGGAATCGAACGACTATAATTATAGCCTTCTAGGACCATTATTAAGGAAATTAGAAAAAAGGTGCATTTCATGGACCAAAAAATTGCCGTCCATCTAGCGGTGAAAGTTGGAACTACAAATATAGAAAATCTTGATTTTCTCGAAAACTAGAGACTTTTCCGAAATTCTGAGATATACAAATTGTTCCTTGTCGCCTACGGAATCGAACGAATGTAATTATAGCCTGCTAGGACAATTATTAAGGAAAATAGAAAAATTAAAGAAATTAGAAAAATAGCCCATTTCATGGACCAAAAAATTGGCGTCCATCTAGCGGTAAAAGTTAGAACTAATCGAAAAAGTCCATGAATTACACCTTTTTTCTAATTTCGTTATTAATAGTCCTAGCGTGTCATAATGGTATTCTATCGATTCCGTAGACGACAGGGAACAATTTGTATATCTTGGAATTTCGAAGAAGTGCCTAGTTTTCGAGAAAATCGAGTTTTTCTGTTTTTGTAGTTCCAACTTTCGCCGCTAGATAGACGACAATTTTTTGGTCCATGAAATGCACCTTTTTTCTCATTTCTTTAATAACGGTCCTAGAAGGTTATGAAAGCACTCATTCGATTCCGTAGGTGACAAGGAACAATTTGTATATCTCAGAATTTCGAAAAAGTGCCTATTTTTCGAGAAAATCGAGTTTTTCTATTTTTGTAGTTCCAACTTTCACCGCTAGATGGACGCCAGTTTTTTAGTCCATCAACTGCACCTGTTCTTCATTTCCTAATATAAAGCTTCCAGATTACTATAAAGACAATTTCATAACGTTATTCTGTCCGTAGAACAATTTACTATCCCTCTACAGTCATAAAAGTGCTTTATTCTCAAAGAAAATGCATTTTCATAATTCCATGTCTGACATCTGAAAAGCGCGCGAAAATTTAAATCTTCAAATGTCTAAAAGTTCTCAAAATAACTAAAGCGGTGTATATAGGGTAAATAATGGTACAATAATTAACTTGATATCTTCTAAATTTATTTTCTTTTTTTCTCTTTTCGTCCTTTGTTGCTTTTTTTGTTTTTCAGTATACAGATTTATACGTTATTACGACTAACTCTGAAAAAGTCTCCCTCCTTCGTGTGACCGGATGATCGTTTACAAGATTCCATTCGATCTTTTGCACGTTTCGAACAATATCAACCAATCATTCGTCCACTTCTCCTATCCGCTCTCTCGTTATATCGCCGTAATCGCTTTTTTCGCACGATACGCGTACCAGTGCCCGCTCACGCGTACTCGTATCGCATCGCACCGATGCGACAGTTAGTTTTTTACATTTACATATATACTTGTATGTATATATCTATATATAATATATATATATATATATATATTTAAACGCTTCTATAACATGTCAAAGATCGTTACCAGTATAATACACTATCGATTATGTTTACATCGCAGAGACTTATTTTATGGGATATTTCTCTGTCGCATATATATATACAAGGATGTTAAAAAGAAATTTTGTTAAGAAAAAAAAACTTATCGATACCGCGTTACGCAAACGCGTCAAATGATTTTTTGGAACCCAAAATTGAATCAAGAATTCAGATTCGAATAAACTACTTCTTAACTGAGAACCGATCGACTCTTCGTCAACGTACAGCGTTTGGAAGCGATCTCTCGTGTAAACGATCGGAAAAGAAATGACGCGATACGGAACGAGCGAACGAACGCGAATCGATAGACGTTCGATCACGCTTCAACGTCGTTGCCTATTCGTACGAACTTTCGTGGTTTACTTATGAAAAAGTTTGTAAAATTATATAAAAATAAGTTGCGCGTCACCGGTAGCGGTTCCTTTTCAGTAATGTGATCGACTTCGCTCGGTGATTACCGGTGATCGCTGACGTTTAAACGGAGACTGTTCCGATGCGGAAACCTCACGGGTCGAACCTGGACCGACTCGCGATCGCGATACGTTCCGATATTTACGCTTTCTATCGGGTCCTAACTAAACGCGTCTCAAGGAATACAATGTCGCTTCTACGATTCGTTGCATCGCTTTCGTCGCATCGAAACGTACGACAGCGAGATCGATTCCTTCTACAGCCCGATTTTATCGGCTACTTTGGCGATTCTAATACTCTTTCGCGACCACGGCGACGCTCGGCGCCAAGTTTGGTTCGAACGCGTGCCGTGACGCAGGGGCAGTCTTTCAACGATATACGTGTATATCGAGGTTCGGCAAACGCGCGCTTCTGTCGTCCGTTAATTATTTCTTCTATTATTATTATCGTTATTATCGTTATTATTATTTGTTTTTGATTCTACGTAAAATCTCTTCGTCGGTCTATGTACACGTATGATTTCGCTGGAACGCGCGAGTCAGCCCAAAACGTTAGGCAATAGATTCGATTCGGTTAGAAGATCGGTAGGAGATCGTCCTGTTTATTTCACGGTGGAAAAGTTTTGCTGTGAGTTTTGATTCGAAGACACCCATGTGGTGAACACGTCTCTGCAATGGCTGACCACGCATTCGTTACTACAGTACTCGTCCTCCCATTCGCTGTTCGCTACCGCGGGATTGGGGCATCCGTGACGTATACAAGCGTTAGAGGTTTGCCTCTGGCCAACCATAGTCGGCTGGGACGCGGCGTTCACCGGTGGAGGGCTCGACATCGAGTCGCCCTTAGGAGGACTCGCGTGCATCATCTGTTGCTGCTGCTGTTGTTGCTGTTGCTGCTGCTGATGATGCGACTGCTGCTGCATCTGCACCTGCTGCACTTGCTGCTGCGACATCTGTGGAAATAAGAACAACTTGACTATTGTCACAACTATAATGACTAAAATACTAACAAGCTTCTAATGAAACGCAAACGACATCTGTGGGAATAAGAACAATTTAACTATTGTCACAACTATAATGACTAAAATACAAGTTTCTAATAAAACTCGTCGCTGACCTGCATATACTGCTGCTGCGAGACTTGCTGCTGCATATGTTGAGACTGTTGCTGCTGCTGCTGCTGTTGCTGCGACTGCTGCTGAGACATATGCGCCTGCGCCATCTGGTTGGACATCATGGTCTAACAAAGAAAGGAAACGGTCGGTTCGTTGATGGAACAGTTCGAAACGCAACAAATGTGACCGCGCACTACCTGCTGCGTTTGCTGTTGCTGTGGATTTCCCGACATCGTCAAATGATGAGGAGATTTTTTCATTTGCATCTGTTGCGGTTGTTGTTGCTGATGATGTTGATGTTGCTGCTGATGTTGATGCGAATGCGAATGAGAATGCGGATGCTGATGCGAATGAGAATGCGGATGCTGTTGCTGAGGCGACGGCGGTTGAGGCTGAGGACTGTATACCTGATACGAGACGTTTCCTGTCGCTCCGTTGCCGGCGTAACCACCGTAGGCGGCGTACTGCATCTGTTGCTGCTGCTGCGGCGACGGTTGCTGCTGCGACTGTGGCGGCTGATCGTTCTCGGCCGCGCCTTTGCTGACCAACGATGCTCTGTACGCTGCGAGGGCTTGCAAGTACTCCTTCTTTGCGGCCTCTGTCTTCTGCTTGTAAACCTACAAATGACATAACGCATGTTGGTATAACGCATGCACTTGTCAATTAAGTATTAAATATAAAGTATAAAAATATTCACATTTTTATGTTCAGTGTCCAAAGCGTCCCACATGGAAGCCACGATCTTAGACACCTCGCCAAAACTCGCGTTCGGGTTCTGTCCCTTTATCGCTGCTTGCGTGTCTCTGAAGAACAAAGCGTACGCCGAGACGGGCCTGCAAAAGATCAATGAAACTCATTATTTTTATGTCATAAAATTTTTGAATATTTTTGAGATGATGGTTAATTTATATTTTAGTATTCACTTATTTATTTTTGATTTAAAAGTGTATTCAAGGTCGGTAGAAATAATGTGGTGGAGCTTACTTTTGTGGCTCGTTCGGATCTCTCTTCTTCTTCTTCTTCTGTGCTTTCGACTTCCTTTGATTTTTTGCTCCGCCGTCGGTCGGTTCCGGTGAAGGTCGTTTGTTTCCGGTAATCTACAAAAAGAAGTGTTCTCAACGCGCGTTTTCGGCGCGACACGGTATAAATCCGACGGGTCTCACCATTCCGGGATGAGGTGTGCTGTCGTCGCTGTCCTCGGAAGTAGTAGTATTGTTGTTCGGTTCGGGAACGTTGCTCGATTGTATCGCGGTCGTGCCCCCGCCCGTAGGACTCCTATACTGCACCTGTTGCTGCAACTGCTGCTGCTGTTGTTGCTGCTGCTGTTGCTGCTGCTGTGTGTGCATGTATTGCATGTGCTGCTGCATCTGTGCTTGCTGCTGTTGTTGAAGCATCATCATCTGTTGACTGCCATGCTGTTGTCGCGGAGAGTTCATATTCGCGTAAGAATTCTGTGAGTTACCGTACGTCGAACTATAACGAAACGGAGAAAAATCGGATCAGTCGGGACTAGGTCGAGGACCGTGGTTCGAGTCCCGCGGGAGCATCGATTGCTTTCGGTTCCCGTTCACGTACGTGGACACGTTTCTCCGACGCATGTTGCCATTATCCTGGGGTTCGTAGCCCCGAGCCAGGCCTAACCTACCCCGTTTTCTTGGTTCGTCCTCGTCGACCTCGCAGTGACACGCGTGAATAAATTACTCTCGGAAATGGTTGCGTACACCATAAAAGAAATGGCGCGCAGCGTGATCACGTGATCACTTCCGAATTTTGCCGAGTGCGATCGGAAGACGACGATCGCGTCAATCGGTAGTTATTTCCTTACTTCTCTTTCGCGACGGATTCTAAATTTATTTCTATCGGTTTTATTCTTTTGAAAAGACACTTAATGCGATCAAATAGTTTTCTTTAACCTTATTATAAATTCGAATAAAGTGGAATTTAATCAACGTTTACATAGAGCCTCTCGTGGAGTTTGTTTTGGAACACCTGTCGAATGTGACGTACAAAATGGAAGACGTAATAGCAGTTATTATAGTGGCTAAAATTCGTAACAATGTACCACGTACATGTTTTAAATGATACGTTCGAGTAATGACAGAGTGCGAAATAATTTATTCACAGTTGAGATCAGTGTGGGTCGACCGAGTACGTCGCACCGTTCCGTGACGGAATCGTTGCAAGGACTCACCTGACGCCGATGGGTTGTATCGGGTGATCTTGTTGCAGGTAGAGCGATTGTTGATATCCACCTGGATCGAGATTCAGCCCGTCGGGAGACCGTTGAACACCGGCCGGTTGCATCATCTACGAAAAACGGTTGAAAAGGAATCCGAACGAGGAGAGGTGAAAGGACGAGCACCGCGTTCGTTCGTGTTCTCTCGAGAAGCTTTTTCGTCGTAAACGAAACTTACTTGAGTCTGGTAGCCTCCGTGCATTGACTCGTGCTGTTGTTGCTGTTGCTGCTGTTGTTGTTGCTGCTGCTGCTGCTGTTGTTGACGTTGTTGTTGCTGCTGTGGGTGGTGATGCGAGTGAGAATGAATCGCTGGGATATCGAAATCCTCGTCGCCGAAACTGGGCGTGTGAAACGTCTGCGAAGAAAAGTCGATTGCCAGGTTGATCGGCGATCGAATACTCGCGATACGGCAATTAGCTTTTACGCTTCTTCTCATTTCACTACGGTTCCTTCCGGCTGACGTATCGATATCGACTAATATCGATATATTAAATTTCATTAGCTTCCTCCCAAAAATTAGTGACTTTAACGGTTTGCTATTTTTAGATCCATAAGTTACAAAATATTTTTAATTTTTAAATTACAAAATATTTTAAACTTTCAATTTACAAAATATTTTAAATCTTGACATTTTTAAATTCAATTTTGTAATTACCAAATTTACCTAAGTTGAACTCTAAGTCCTAAATTCCCTAATGTCTAAACTTCTTAATCCTAAGTGTTCCAATTTCCTAATTCCAGCTCCAAATTTCTAAGTACATAAATCCCCAGATTCTGAACTCCCTAAATCTTCCCGCGCTTCAAAATTTTTTACTTTCTATAGTCAGTGTTAGACCCATAAACTACCTCGACTTCAAGATAGGCAACTCCCTAAATATTTAACATCCTGTGCTTCAAAATTTTTATCTTGACATAGTCAATGTTAAACAACCATGTAAACCCATAAACCACCTTGACTTCAAGATAGGCAACTCCCTAAATATTTAACATTCTGTGCTTCAAAATTTTTATCTTGATATAGTCAATGTTAAACAACCATGTAAACCCATAAACCACCTTGACTTCAAGATAGGCAATTCACTAAATATTTTACATTCCTACCCTTCAAAATTTTTATTTTAACATAGGCAATGTGAAAGAACTATGTAAACCCACAAACCTCAACTTCAAGATAGGCAACTCCCTAAACCTTGAGCATCTCTAAGCTTAATAATTTTTATCTTGACATACTCAATAAACAACGTAAACCCATAAACCTCAAGATAGGCAACTCACCGCTACGTGACGTCACCAAAGCTTAATACGCGTAGTAAAAAATTGCGAGCAATTCTACAGTTATTATTTCCCCTCCAGAAAAGTTTGGTGGCAAGGTCTCCGATCGGAATCCGATACCCGTGTAAATACCGAGATATTTAACGTAAAAAATAACGATACGGACTGCAAGGGAACCGGCGTCGCATCGTTCGAAATCCTTTTAGCGATTTATTCGGCGAGCCGGGTCGAAGGGAAATACATTCGGCGCGGCGGGCCGGCCCACGGGGAATAAAAGTTTTTAAATTGGATTTAATAGCGTCAGAAATTTTCCTTTGAAGGAACGTACTTGTGCCTATTGATCGAGTACACCTCTACCTCTCTCCACTCCACTACCCCTTCATCATCCACCCTTTCCCTCTCCAGGCCCATCGCGCGCGCGTTACCCCTTACCTCGCGACGTTTCCCCGTCTCTTTTCATCCCCCTATCACCGCGCCCGTAACGTCCAGCCGCCAACCACGCGTACGCGTACCCGTACCCCGTACCCGTTCTATTTTAGCTACTCCTACGCCCCCTACTCCTTCCCCCAGCTCCTCCGCCTCTTCCTTCTGCCCTTTCCATCTCCGAATCGACTACGCGTCTATCCATCTTCTTCCCCCGCTGCTTTCAAACTTTTTCGCTCTCTACCGCCCCTCCGGCGCCTCTCCCCTGTACCCGCCCATCACCCCGCTGGTTCTCTCGCGACGGGCCCTTCGAATATTTTGTGGGGAACGAAAATTCGGTGCCGGCCGCGAGATGGCACCTCTTGTAAAATAAATGTAGATGAAAGAGCATCGCTGAACCCATCATGGTTCGAGGGAACGCAAAATAGGTTCGGGTTTTCGGGCACTCGCGAGAGACAGAGCCGTAAAAACTTCATAAAAGCGGACACGAACGAACGATGCCAGAAGGAGAAGAGGAAAGGGACAGGGTTCGACGGGTCGCGAAAAGATACAGGACGCGGGACGGGGAGTCCCGTCGGTGAAGCACGGAAACGCGAATTAATCCGTGAAGAACGACTCACCTGATCAGCCATTGCGTAACCGTTGTGATGATAGGACGCCGGGTGATGATGTTGATGGTGGTGAGGTTGTGGCACGTTCAACGAAAAGTCGAGGTTCTCGTTTCTCTGGAACAAAGCAGCGAGAGGTTCGGGTTAACGGGGACCGAACGACACGGAAGGAAATTGGTTAATTTTTTCAAGTTATGCACAATTGTTTATCGAACTTTTGGAACGCGATTTATGTCCGTTTTGTCGGAAATTAAATTGGAGCACTACTCAACAGTGTCACGTGTTCTTCCGATTTCGAGAAAGATCGGATCTGGAAGTATCGATGGACTGCGATTATCGATATCTTGTATATGACGAGGTATCCTAACCTCAAATTACGTAATTAGATATTAGATTAGATAAGTGTTGTTAGATTGACGTTCGGTTAGTTATATTATCTTCAAGTTAGATTGAATTAAAATTACAGTAACTTGGGTTAGAATTAATTAGTTTGAGGTTAGATTCGACTAGAATCGTACTAGCTTCAGGTTAGACTAAATTAAGGTTTTTGAAATACAGTTAGGTTAAGTTAGAATTATATTTTCTTAAGGTTAGGTTAAATTAGGACTTTTTAGAGTCAAGTTAGGTCAGGTTAGAGTTATATTTCCTTAAGGTTAGGTCAAATTAGGGCTTCTTAACGTTAGGCTAGGATTTATTACCTTGAAGTTAGGTTAAAACAAGACTTCTTACAGTTAGGTTAGGATTATATCACCTTGAAGTTAGGTTAAAACAAGATTTCTTACAGTTAGATTAGGGTTATATTATTTTGAGGTTAGGTTAAATTATGACGTCTTAAAGCTAGGTTAAATTGGGACTTTTTGAAGTTAGGTTAGATTAGGGTTACATTACCTTGAGGTTAGATTAAATTAGGTCTTCCCAGAATAAAGTTAAGTTACATTAGGGTTATATTACTCTGAGCTAGGTTAAATTAAGATTTCTACAATAAAGTTAAGTCGGGTTCAAGTTATATTACCTTGAAGTTAGATTAAATTACAGTTAATTAAAGTAAGATTAGATTACGGTCCGATTAGAATTATATTATGCTGCAATTAAGCTTATTCATCATTTCATCGTTTAACTCCACTCAATCTCATTTAAATTCCAAATGTAATCTAAACTAATCTAATTTAAAAGAGGAATAATTGGGTTTTAACGATAAAATTACATATTACATTCTACATCGACCACTTACTCGATATCTATTATCGATCGAATTACATACCGATATTATCGATGCTAATTATCGACAACATTTCGACATTATCGAGATATATAATTATCGATTTATTTAATCGACGATAACGCTTCGATAGTATCGATAATCCGCGGGACACGAGAGAAGACGCTTCTCTTCAGAGGAGCCCGATTTTCGAGCCGCCATTTTCGATACCGATTCTTCGACTCGCGAGCCGTTCGCGAAGTTCACCCGCGGATTCGCGAGCTGCGCCTCGCGACAGGATGCGCCCCGCGACCGCGACCCCTGTCCTTCGGTCAACGACCCCCGGCAGCCAGCGCGCCTTCGCCGATTCGATTCTACTTCGTTTCGTACCATCCTTAGCGATCTAAAACTACCTTTCCAACACAGCCATCTTCTGGCGGTAAATTCAAATTTTTCCCTGTCACGATTTCATACCGAAAGCTGTACTACATATAATTATACTAAAGTACTATTTTAAGCACGTCATAAAATGTGAGCTTATCGGTACACTGGTAAATCCAGAATGTTCTGTAAAAATTTTAAATGAAAATATGTCGAATGAGTCATACACGACACAATAAGTAAACAGTGACAGTTGACTATCTTGTAATTTCATACGTCACCGGTCGACGCGTGAAGATGCGCCTTGAGGCGTCGGTCAATTTCAACTTCCGCTTTCAGAGAATTCGCATTTTCGAGAACGCCACTTGGAACGTTATATTACATTCGACGTTGCCTTACCACTTTGATTCTCCCACCCCCTTACGTTACTACTACTATTACTACTACTACCACCGCTACCACCACCACCGACGCCGCCACCACCGCCGCCACCACCACCTGCCCTTAACGAAGCACGTTGTTCGCGTTCCTCCACGGTCATCGACCCCCGTACGTTTGCTTCCAATTTATCGGATTCGAAAGATCCTCGAATCCTCGATATTACACTTACTTCCATGTTGGAAGACCGGAAACGATCGAGATGTCCGACGGCCTAAACTTTCGAAGAAGGGAAGAGCGTAACGAAGGGCGGCAAAGAAAAGAAAAGGTGCACGTTACTTTTTCCAGCAGAAGACGCGACAGCAGGCAAGCGAACAGGTAACAGGGGCACGCGGGTGGAAGGGAGAACGGGTAGACGAGCAGGCAGGCTGGCAGGCAGGTAGGTAGTTGGATAGATGGGTAAACGGGCGAGCAGGTAGGTAGGTAGGTTGGTAGGTAGGTAGGTAGACGAGTCTGATCGAGCAAGAAAAGCGAAATCGACTAGAAACAGCATAGACGTAATCGGGAAGATGCATCCGATTAGTTCAGATACACTTCACTCGCCTTCTGATGTTTCAAAATGATCAATTAGTTACAATAAGCAAGCTTCCAGATCCTTCCTTATGTGTAGAAATACTTATGAAGATAATATTTATCTAATAACGTCAATTGTCAAAAAATTTATAGGTTAGGTTAATTCCATTACTGTAATTTATAAAATACTCCATATTATAAAATATTCCATTGCATATTATAAAATATTTAATTACCTATTACAAAATAAAAATAAATTGTATTAAATTATTTCAAATTAAAAATTGTTATAAAATAGTTACAATAAGCAAGTTATACGACCCTACATAAACTCCTACCTTGCATGTAGAAGCAACAATGAGACTTGTCAAAAAATGTTAAGGTTAATTCCATTACTGTAATTTATAAAATATTCCACATTACATATTATAAAATATTATATAATAAAATAAATATTTTATTACATATTATAAAATAAATATTTTATTACATTACTTACTACAAAATATTTAATTAATTATTACAAAAAAAAAATAAATTATTTCAAACAAAAAATTGTATAAATATATTAATATGGTTTCTAAAATACAATGCTCAACGGATCCATTTTGTGTACCATTACACAATTGCCTCATGTTTACCCAGCGACATTCTTTCCGTGTCTACATCCTCGAGATAAATCGATCTTAACTAATCGAGTCTAACAACGATCTGTTCGATTGTTCGAAACATTGTAACGATCAGAAATCTCGAAATGTTAAGTCGAAACATGGCGAAGAGAAAAACGAGTAAAGGGGGATAAGCAGCCGGGACAAGGGAACAGGGATTTATGGCAGGAACGGAGCACGAATAAAGCGAAAGCTAGAGATCCGATAGATACGCGCGAACGAGTCTCTTACTCGATGTAACCGATGTTAAACCTGTTCTTCGTCGCGACCCCCTCGCCCCTCGACCCTAACTCCGTCTTTCTCCACACCTGGTCCGCTCCTACACATTCGATCATCGAATTCTTCCGACCCTTACAATTTCTTCAAAAAATCATCTATGAACGTGAAAACTTGAGCTGCTATTTCGCTCAGACCTAACTCTTATGCACCTGAATTCGAACGTGGTCAAATATCAAAATATATTACTAAGAATAATGTTGGAAAAAGAGTCGGTTACGCGGGGTGATTCGAAATTCGATGTATTAAAATTGCGTTCGAGAATCGGCGTCGTTGGAAAACTGAACGGCCGAAAGATGGCGCCACCGATGTGTCCCGAACGCGCTCCGAAAGAAAATACGTCCCGAGTGAATCGTAACCTTGCACCTCAAGCGTCGAACGAGCTCCCGAAAATTGAAAGAAAAGCGATCTCAATCAAAGCTGTCGAAAAAAACGACTTACCGTCGGGAACCAGCGGCTCGCAAATTCCAGGTTATCGAGTGCACGTGCGACGCGCGAAGCACCGCGTATACCGCACCACGCTCGTTTACGACGACTTCTTGTTTCCCCGCTTAAAAAACCGACGAAACCCGTTACACTCGCGATCGTTCGCGCGCGTCTACACGCTGCAGATAACCGCGCTTGACGCGAGACACAACACGACACCACGCGACACGGCTAAACGTAGACTCGCGGCTACGTTCGATTAAAACAACACCAACTTCTTGATCGGCGCGCAACGTATTCGAGCCGTGGCGTAACTCGTGACAGCGTGGCAAAAACGACGCGCGCTCCTCGCGGCGGCCGGCGCGGGAATGATTAAAGGAGGTTCATTTCGTGGCACGCACCGGTGGTGGGGGGTGAATCTCGCGACAGGGGAGTGGACGCGCGCGCTCCCTGTCGTATTACCTGCGATACAAAAGGATACCGTGCGCCGCGACGGGACGCGATCGAAAAAAAATACTATGTAACCCTTCGGGGACGATAAACGCATACATGTGTACGCTTCACAAAACCATGGTTACGTAGCTTCACAAATCTGTTATTTCATTGGCAGAAATTGTCTGCAGAGTTGAAGAGGAAATTTAATAAAACGACAAATTTTTTATGGTGAATTTTTTCAGGTTCAGATGAGGCATTGTTCCAACATTGGAGAGAATTGAAAATTTACCACGTGTTTGGAAACCGTCTTTTGACGTTCCTCGATCCGGGACGGGCCCGTAGCTATTAATTGCGTTTAACGTGATCGAACGATAGGGTTAAACGTTTTAGTCCGTATTTCCCTACGTAGGATATTATTTCGGAATCGCGTCGAATCACGCGAATAGCGTTCACGTTTCGTGTCCCAGATAACGAGCCGCGAACGCGACGCCGCGTCGGAGAAGAAAGGGGACGTAGGGCGATAACGGCGCGGAGAGGGGCTACACGGGGCATCCGCGGCACGGGGAAGGGAGAATGTCGAGGAGGGACGGGGAGGGAAAAAATAGGCGCGCGAACGGGGCAGCGGGGGAACGGGAGGGGAACGGTGCACGATCGAAAGGGGTCGGTGGCGCAACGAACGCGAACGGAGCAAAGAGGACTCGCGACGCGTGACGCGTGATGCGCGACTAGATTTGCTCTTAGCGATAATCTTATCGACAAATATCGATACTATCGCTAAATAGAATAAATAATCGACAGTGATTATCTAAGCATTCTTCAGATTTTAATATGACAATAAATAACATATATTGTCTTTAAGGAATTTATTAATAAATTTACTTTTATTTATTTCTAAGGAATAGAAAGATCTGAATAATAAAGTTACCAGGTTGCATTAAGCTTGAAGAAATTTATTAATTTTATTTTTATTTATTCCAAAGGAATAATAAAGTTACGTACCAGGTTGCATTAAACTTGAAGTTAAAAAGAGTAAAGAATATTAAATAATAAAATTATACATTGTTACCTCGGTTAACGATAAGATCTGAATAATAAATTTGCATACTAGGTTGCATTAAGCTTGTAGGAATTTATTAATAAATTTATAAATTTTTTAATTTATTTTTATTTATTCCAAAAGATTTGAATAATAAAATTACTAGGTTGCATTAAGTTTGAAGTTAAAAAAGACATTGAATAATAAAATAATATATTGTTACCTTAACGATATTATCGCATGTCAAAAAATATCGAGTATCGATACTGTAGCATGACGCGAGACAAATCCGAAGCAATTTCGCTGTGCGAAGCATCTCGAGATGGATACGAGAAATAACGTTCTCTAAGATTTTTCGATTCGGAGGAAACCGAGATCGGTATTAGGCGTACCGATACTCGGCTGCACGAATATTCCAAGAAAGTAGGACACAGCGGAGAGACTCGAGGAAGCGGGGGTTACGTTGTACAAAGAGTCGTTACGTTCCCGTGAAAGGTGGCTTTAATTTCAGTGGCATTCCAATCGTGTTAACGCATATTCCCGCGAGTTCGCTCAATCGTGGCAAGTGACGATCCATTGGAAATGTTCGACGGGACAATGCGATTATGCGATTCAATCGAGTGTCACAATGGCGATCCTAACCTTTTTCGATACGATCGACGATCGATATGTTTAAACTGTAAAGGCCTCGGTAAAATTCGGTATTTTCTGTACTTGAGTTTAGAGGACTATAAGTGCACTAGGTTTCAATGGACGAGGAATGAGAGTTCCGGAAGCACGAGTACTCGTTTCCTTCCGAGAATCGTAATCGTAAGCGATCGAGATACGAGGACAAAAACGAGGTGGTGCGAAGAAGCGTTGCTCAACGCCGTACCGCGTCGAACCGACTCGATCGATATTCTCTCGCGGGACGGTCGAGCGCCGCACGGTTTCACTGCTTCGAACGAAAGCCTGTTCGTCCCGTGAACGGTTAATTATTTTTAACATCTATCTTTTTGTACAGAAGAATTGACACCAAAAAAATATATGACGCATTTAAGAAAATATCAAGTTTCCTTCTATTGTTGTATGCAGACATCTTTCTCTTTTGTAACAATCCTAATTAATAATTATCAAGGACATTCTTTGTTGAGTGTAGTAAATGTAATTGTTAAGTGACATAACCTCCCAAAGAGTATTCAACAAGATTAACAGTGTTCTCAAAGTCTATGTTAATTTTATAAATGTAATTAATAATCAGACATATATCTTTTGTTAAATGTATTAAATGTAATTGTTATTTAAGAGACATAATTGCTCAAAGAGTACTCTACAGGATTAACAGTACTCTTTAAAGTCTATGTTAGTTTTATAAATCCTTGTAATTAATAATTAGATATATATCTTTTATTAAAAATAATAAATGTAAATATTACTTAAGTGACATTACCTCTCAAAGAGTATTCTACAGAATTAACAGTGTTCTCAAAGTCTATGTTAATTTTATAAATCCTTGTAATTAATAATTAGATATATATCTTTTATTAAATATAATAAATGTAAATATTACTTAAGTGGCAACCTCTCAAAGAGTCCCATAGCATTAACAGGATTCTTCAAAGCCTACTTCATTTCACAAATCCCTGTAATTAATAATCATCAGACATATACCTTTTATAAAAAATAATAAATGTAAATGTTATTTAAGTGATAAAACCTTTCAAAGAGTCCCATAGCATTAACAGGATTCTTCAAAGCCTACTTCATTTCACAAATCCCTGTAATTAATAATCATCAGACACATATCTTTTATTAAAAATAATAAATGTAAATGTTATTTAAGTGATAAAACCTCTCAAAGAGTCTCATAGCATTAACAGGATTCTTCAAAGCCTACTTCATTTCACAAATCCCTGTAATTAATAATCATCAAACACATATCTTTTATTAAAAACAATAAATGTAAATGTTATTTAAGTGACATAACCTCTCAAAGAGTCCCACAATATTAACAGTATTCTTCAAAGTGTACGTTGATTTTACAAATCCCTGTAATTAATAATCAGACATATATCTTTTATTAAGTGTAATAAAAGTAAATGTTATTGAAGTGGCATCAAAGAGTATAGTATTAACCGGATTTTCCAACGTCAATTTTACAAATCTCTTTGAACGTATAATCGCCCGAGGCTTATCGCGAAACAAGCATTTTCTCTTCTCACCGTTCAACGAATTCCTCGTTTCCGTTTTTTTTCTGTTCCGCGTATTTGCGCTTTCGCGTTTTGCTATCCCCACCGATGCATCGCGAATAATCGCGAAAGAGTTTCGTCCCTGTCCCTCGCACGGTCGATTCCTATTATCGTGTACTCTCAAACTTAAACCGGTTTTACTTATTACACGTCCAACGTTTATCTCGTACATCCTTTATTACCAACCACGGCGAGATTCTCCTGCGCAGTTCCTTCCTTTCGTTTTCCATTCGATCGAAGTTTCGTTTTCGAAATCATTTCGCTTCACCGAACGGGTTCGAACGGGAGAAGAAAAGCGGAAGAAGATTCCACGACCGCGCGACCTTTTGACCGTAAGAAATTCTTCGGATAAACGAGCTTTCGGTCGTAACGCCGACCAAGAAGGGAGCAACAAGTGCGAATCTTGTCTACCCCGTGGATCGGACCGTTCTTAGCTTTCCTCTGCTTTTCTACGCCTTCTCACTCTCTCCGTCACCCTCGCTCTCTTTACACACCCCACTCTATCTTAACCCTCTTTTACTCGTCTATTTCCCCTTTCAGCACGCGTGCTTCGCTCTTGAACTAGAGGCGTTGAACATCGATAATATCGGAATGTTATCGATGATGTATGTTCAAGACGAACAACAGTCACTGTACTTGTCAATTTTCCTTTAATCTGCAAACCTCTGGACGAACATAACCTAAGTAGCCTCGCTGTCAAAACCGTCGACGCGTAACCGTTTCTCGTCAAGCCTAATCGAACATCATACCTAATCGAGCGATTCCTTGTAACGAATACTAGCTGGCAACGAAATGCACGATAGGATACGTTGCTACGGAATGAATAATGGACCGCTGGCGAAGTACGTCGAGACATAAATATTGTATCCGGAACGCTATATATTACGGGTATCGAAATCGTTATCTACGTATAGATCGTTCTCTGTTCCGTTGCTTCCTATCCGATCGAGATCGTTGCCATGGAAATACGCGTATTCCATCCGATCAACCGTTTTACATAAACCGTGACGAAAAGTTTCGCCCTTTTCGGAAACGTTACTTCTTTTCCGCGCGTTCCTTCGTTTAACCGCGCTCGGAAAAGACGCTGCGCACGGAACATGCGCAGTAACCCTCAAGGCGAGCTTTGACATCTACGACAAAAGTTTTACACAAAACAGTAGATATAGGCAAAATGAAAACCCCTATTATATTAATTATTATGTAAATGTGTTGTATTAAATATTATATAAATATGTTGTATTAAATATTGTATAAATATGTTGTATTAAATATTGTATAAACATGTTGTACTAAATATTATATAAATATGTGATATTAAATACAATACAACAGTAAAGATGTGAGAATGACATTAAATACTGTATAAATATGTTGTATTAAATATTGTATAAACATGTTGTATTAAATATTGTATAAATATGTTGTATTAAATATTGTATAAACATGTTGTAGTAAATACTGTATAAACATGTTGTACTAAATATTATATAAATATGTGATATTAAATACAATACAACAGTAAAGATGTGAGAATGACTAACAAATGAAGAAAGTGAAAGACTAAAGAGAAAGTGAATTTTTTAAAAATCGTTTGTACTCAATTCAATAAAGTGTGAACGTAGTTTGCAAACGTACCGAAATAAGTTATTAAAATTTTAGCAAGCCCGGGCAACGGGGCAACAGGGCACCGGCTAAAGGGAATAGCGATCGTCCGCGGTAGGGGTTACAGTAGAGGGGTATAGGAACAAGGATTCCCCTTCGAAGGGAGACGAAAGGACGAAGGTACGAGAGAAACGGAAAACGGTCGAAACGGTCGAAGCGGTCGGAAAGAGAACGATGGTGACGGCGAAGAAAAGGAAGCGGGTGGTGGCAGAGACAGAGGCGAACCAGCGAATGGACGAGGGGATGAGAGGACGATGAAACGAATAGACGGGACGGGACGGTACGGGACGGGCCGGGACG